AAGATAGATTAACAGGCATATAGCAATAGGTACCCGGGTATCAAAACCGTGTTCGATTTCTCCACTATGCCGATATCTAGCGAGATTCACTAAGATGATTGATTAGCCTTCTCGAATTTCGATATCCTATCGGTTCAAGGCCTCTAAGTTTTTGTTGCATTTTATAGCTTCAAATCCTGACTTTTGTTTGTCGAATCAATGATGGATGATTGAACCGCCTGAACACAGCATCAAATCCAATGTACGGCCAACTCCGAGCTGATGGCCATTCCTTGAGCATACATGCGTATGATTCTACAATAAGCCAAAACCATGTAATATGAGATCAAGAATCCGAAGATGACTGCATGAAAGGAAGCGGCATATGTGTAACATCAGAATTTACCATGTTATATTATACTTGCTGCTGACCTCCGGACCGGCATCCCACGAATTGCTGACTTGGAGCTTTCTTCATACCTATCTTCACTTTGTTCTATTCTTACTGCAAATTTACGTCTGCTATGGATGATTCAATCGATCTGTCTGCCAGCAGGCAAGCCAATTTGTACGCAGCAGATATCGTCACATTTTTCGCTGCTGTAGTGGCCGTGGGACTTCGCATCTGGTCGCGGCGAGTTGCTGGTGCTGGCTTGTGGTTGGATGATCTCTTTATTTGCATAGCACTGGTACGTGTCCACTTTTGAAGAAGAAATTGGGATTAATTCTGTCCAGGTTGGTGGTGTTGCGATGATGATCAATTTTTGTTGGTGTAAGTTCAAGTTTTCTATACTTATTCACTCCCATCACTGTCACTCATTCAACACCAGGGATACCAAATGGATTTGGTAAACACATGGAGGCATTTGGCCCAAAAGCGGAGTATAATTTCTTCTTGGGATTCTTCATGGCTGAAGTGATATACACTGTCATCATTGTCTTCGTCAAATATTCCATCTTGGCCTTGTACTGGCGGGTTTTTCGAAGCACCAGCATCAAATGGCCAGTAGTAATACTAGCGGCGATTGTCACATCTTGGGGAATTGCAGTTGTAAGCGTTCCGTCCGCCCGTCAACTATTGAGATTCTAACACAATCCGTTTAGCTTTTTCTCTCCATCTTCACCTGCGTGCCCCCAAAGGGCTTTTGGGATAAAGACATACATGCTTCTTGCAACGTCAATAGCCAACAATTCTTGATCGGTATCTCGGTTCCTAATATTCTTACGGATGTTGCTCTGCTGTTGTTACCAATCCCATACGTTTTGCGATTGAACACTGCCTGGTCTCAGAAACGACTTTTGATGGGCACATTCCTACTTGGAGGATTGTAAGTTCTCAAAAATCCATATAACTTATGTTTGATGTGCATTTATTCTAATCTCAATCTGTTACAGCGTCTGTATAGCATCAATCATGAGATTGATTAGTGTTTGGCAGCAGAATTCGGTTTCGGACTTTAGCTGGAATTGGGTCAATCAGGGAATATGGGCAGTGGTGGAGAGTAATTTTGCGATAGTATCAGGTATGCCGATCACCTACCTAGATACACTTCCCAATCTTTATCTTTCCAATCTTAGATGGATAATGCTGATTATAACCGACAAAAGCTTGTCTTCCGACCCTACGCATCGTATGGGTGTGTATATCCAGGCGCAAAAAGAACCATGCATCGTCACCAACCTCAGATAGACCAGCGATCTGGACAATTGGATCAGGGCCCAAAAAACAGAATCGCAAACGAAAAGGAGAGTTTACTCTCGGAGAATCTATTTCGACGGACTCAACGCACCCGTTCACCAGCTTGCATGAGGCCGAGGAAGGCAATATCTCGGGGGGCAAGGTGCATGTACGTTCAAGCATAGAGATACACTCGGAGAGGGATACCACGAGTTCTCCTTATCGGGAGAACTTTAATATGGTTCCATTGAGTAAATGATGAGTTGAAGAGAAAAGCTCCTTGTCTTTCTTCAGAAACTCCAAACAGATTTTATTTCGATTCAAAGCGTACGCGTCTTTAGATCCAAACATTCCTGTCAGTGCAACTTCAATGTATCTGCTCTTAACCTACTATTACCGTTAGAGCTAGAGCCTTAAACTCTGTGCGCCATCCAACAAGTGTAAGTGTGGCTAGTGATCATTTTGTCAAGTGGTAGCATGTATTCTCCGCAACTTGGTTCAATACTCAATTTCTTATCACCGTAACGACATTTTGACACCTACATCAAGTAGGTGTATACGAATACACCAATGATGAACATACTCTGCGACCTCAGAGCTTGTTAGGATCTTTGAGTGGGGCCTATTCTCAATGAATTGGTTTAGTCAGAGTATGGTTGGCTCGAATGAGCCTCTGTCTGAGAATGAGTAATGAAGAAAGCAAACTGCCTTCTATTAACTAAATTCTGATAGCTTCATCAAATTTTTGTCTAGCAGATCGTGCAATGTAGGAAGCGAGTCCATTTCGGCTGTAGAATTGGGATTGATCTAGGAAGTGGGGCGGTTCGCGTCGAGGGATAAAAACTTTGTACTCTCCTACGTTAGTTCAAACATTAACTACCTTTCAGAGTATGCAAGAAAGAATTTAAAGACAAGAAGTTCCAAAAAAAAATTCCGTGCGCAAAATTCAAATGTGTAACGCATGAGAATTACTATTCTGAGATGTGTGAATGTAGCGACACTTGCTGCTAGCCGATGAGTATGAAAGATAGACTGATGTACAAACGAAAAGATTTGTTACAAGAAAAGTTCATTGCATTTACCAAGTCCGATACCGTACACAACATGGAGTGATAGCTCCTAGACCGACATGGAGGAGGAAAGTAGATTGCCACTGCAAGCGAAATTAACATGTTCAGTTCAGGGGCTGACGATATGATTTGACCCAGTGATTTTGTTTATTTAACACCTCAAGTGGTATTCTTCAATTAGAAAGAATAACCGAGAGGCGAAATCCAAATCTTATAAACCAAATCGTAGCCAAACAGTAGCGCGATAAACTTGCCCAAAAAATGACACTACAGTGGGGAGCCTTATAGAATTGAATTGCGGCTTACGGTGTGATGTGACTCGCGATGAAACAATTCCCAATCCAACTAGAACCCGAACAATATTCCGACTCGGGTCATTCCTTGTGGCCGACACCCGAAATGGTTCGGCACGATATAGCTCATGAATGAAAAGCTTGGCTTCCAGTATCAAACAACTACATTTGGAGAACTAAACTTACAATTCCCAAGGCTTCTTCACGCAGTGTTATCCCCCAAGGCATACTCCGTACCACATAACCAACCTTTTGTCTAAGTGTGTACGTCATCAATAATGTGTTCCGCTAACGTTGAGTTCTCATGTTCTGGAAGAATGTTGTATGCGACAGCTAGTTATATGTTTAGTACAGTGGTCTTTACATCAAGCAGATTATCTGTATATCGGTCTTACTAATCTCCGGTTTGATATGCAGGTGAATATTAAACAAGACTTACTCTTTGCGCATCGAGGCAACAAATTCAAAGTGTACAGCTACGGAGCTCTATGAACATGAAGCTTATGGGAAATAAGTCACAGGTTAACGTATACGAAATAGGCATGTCTCAAAAACCTTAACTTCTGAAAGAAGATGTAAGCGTATTGCAATCAAAACGATTATATGTTTGTATATATCTGGGTTGTATTCCTGACTGAATGAGGTCGGTATAGCTACTTTAAAACGCCAGGCTGGGTGGCAAATCTTTTGTATCAGCGAAAATGACTTAGTATCGTTTGGCTCGAAGCTATTCTACCTCGGAACAATGCGGTTGATAAATTTCTTCCCAACATTTCCGGGACGCATACGCACTGTTTTGTTCCTATCAGCCTCTAATTGCTTTCAGATCACGACCGACAACACGAAAGATCGTGGTTTGCAATTCGGTCCTTAAGTAGTTCGCAAAATCACAATTTGCCTTCTCTCACGCAGCCTTGTTGGTCAAAATCATTTTGGAGCCCTAGCCTCGAACCGATCTCAAATCCTAACCAAGAATGGCAAACATTATGAATTTAAAGTAGTTCACATGGTTTTAGGCTCCCAATATGGAATTGCTTTCAAATCTTAATCAAAATTATCAAAGGTTGTGGTTCTTGAAGAAAACATCATTTTTGCCATCCCATCTTTGCCTCGCCGTAACCATCTCCAGCCTCGTTGCATTACTACGTTCAATCTTCTTCCAGCCTCGGTAAACCTTCAAATTCCAATCAAATTGCTAAAATGTGGTTCACGAAAAAAAATGCCCCTGCTGGGCCTTACCCCTCAATCGACTGGCTGAGAAACTGAAAATCTTACTAGCATACCATACACAGCGCACAGGGATCATACACAAAGATGATTAGCCTAAACGAGTCAAGTAGAGAAAAGGATTAGCATGATACGTCTGCTTCATCGCCATGCTCATCGGTCCACATTATATTGACGCACCTCTGGCAAAGCTACGTGTTATGTGCATATGCCGTGTTATCGAAACAGAGATAACTGTGAGTTCATTGGATAATCCGTTTGAAATTTCTCGCCTGGAGTGATGATATCCAATGATTTCCATCGGCCCCTACCTTACCCTTACCAGGGATTTACAAACTATACACATCCAAAGACCTTTTTTGGGGGAAGTACAACCGCGACCGAACAAGGGTTGGAAGAAGATGTGGAAGAAAGATGCGGTAGCGCGATATTGTTGGAACCGCACTGGACAAGGGTTTGGCTAAAATGTAGAAGGTTAGTGTCAAGATGGGAAGACTGATATGGCACTGGGGCTCTTCACTACTTTTTGCTCGTTGCATGTAACCTTCAGAAATTGATGACCGGAATGATTGCTCATGAGTTTTCTTCAGTCCTTTACACTTCAGTATATAAACACTTTATTTCCCAAGTTTTTCACTATTTTCTTCCTTTATACAAGAGATTCTTCTTGCTCAGATTTTCGTAGTTCAATTGCCAACTTCCTCTCGCCAATCCCGAACGAAACATCTATGTCTCTCAAATCCCAAAGTAACCATGTCGAACACTAGTAAGAGCTCCTGCATTGCTGTGCAAGTCTCTATAACCTCCGAGTAAGTTATCTTTGTTTCCTGCATTCAACAATACCATACGGGATATCTTTCACAGTTCGCAACATACCATAATGTTCCTCCATAACTTTTTTCTTTCTATCCTCTAGCCTATTGGACTTTAAGATTCTCTTTCAGCAGTGTCTTCATTGGATGAGTATCTTGCAACCCGTCCTCTCTGTCCATCTTTGCACATCCTGGTTTCACCTGCTATGAGGTTATCCATACCCAAAAACTACTAATATGCAATGCAATACTTTGTCTTTAATCAAGAGCTCTTTCATTCCTCCCTCTCAACTGTGACCGCTTCCAAAGAATTCTTTTTAATGTACCTTCTTTCATTTAGCCCAAGTAATACCTCGCATAACCCTTCGAATGCTACTTCCTCCACTGAAGCTGAGCACCTCTCTACACGTCGTGTTCAACGCTACCTTGCCGACAACAACTCTCCCGTGCCATACATCTTGCCTACTATTCCTGCCGACGGCAACCTCGACAGAAGTTCGACTGCTGTACATACAATGAGCGGGAAGTTGCAGCAGTTTGATGCAATATTCTATCGTAAATGAGAGGCTTGACACATCACTCGAAGGTTCAAGTGGGCTTGGCAAAGTTGGATGGTTACAAGAGAGGCCTTTAGGATGATCCGATAACTTAACAAGAATGGAAAATTTATCACTAGTTCGGTGACATCTTCAATGAAGTTTCTATACATAGTGATTCTGAGATAACAGTGAGAATTATATACGCATAGTCGTGAGTTTTGTTTCAATCAAGAGGCACTTGTGCACTTGTATGAAGGCTACGTAGAGAAGGATCAGCCAACTTTGTGGTCATGAAGGAATGGTGAACGTGTCTGATGAGTTCTACCATATTAAGTGTACGGTATGCCCCCAATCGTTCATGAAGACAAGAAATCATCGGAGGGTATTGATGATAATTTCATGTACCATCCTCTATACAACTCAAGTAGTTAAGACAGGTAAGCCTTCAACATGGCGTTAAGTGTACTCTTATGAAAAGGGTGAAGTAAATCGATATCCCAGACTTCAGGATATTCAATAGGACAAGCTGGCGCTCTATGATTTTCGGAACTGCTGACCTTGACATGGACCTGATGAAAATTTCTCGTCCTAATCTACGACGAAAAGGAGACACAAGTCAACGACAAGTTGGAAGACGAAGCTTTGGAATCAGTAATGTTCATTCGATCTGCATTCGTCTCTTTTCAACTCGAAAAGCGATTTTAGTATCAATCATCCAGCAGATGCCATAAAGTTTCACTTGAACTCAAGCCACGAGGCGGGTAGCGTATTGCTGACCGCCATGCTTCACAATGGGTGATTGTATCTCCAAAATGTTGGCAAGTAGCACGCGAACCGCGGACCGAACTCAGCGAATCACAATCCTAGAAGTAACTTGGTCCCCTTCTCAAATCACACTTCACCATCTTGCCTTGTAAGATGGCCTGTTGGTATGTTGAAATGAGTATGAGTGGAGAGATCATGTTGTTGGAAGAATGAAAGACAGGGGAAATTAACTTCTCACTAGCAACAAAACAGGAATAGTATGTTTCTGCAATGTGGGGCTCGACCGATAAGCTCTAGCGTCTTGGGAACTGCGTCATTAGACGATCCTGCAGCTTTTGAAGCTTAAGCTGCTTTTCTCCTTCATCTATTAAATACCCAGATAGATAATTCAATTTTGATCTTTCTCTCAAGAATTGGAGTGACAAGGACTTTCATAGCAAGCAAGCAATACGATTGATATCATACTATTTTGTTTACAAAGTACATAAAAAAGAAATCATATCAAGATTCTTTCAACCAACGGAATTCGAGAGCCTAATCTTATTACTAGGTGTAAATCTTTAGTCCAGCCTTACAGCTCCAGAGACTATCGAGCTAATCAACCCACCTTAAGAGCCAAACAAACCAAACGAGCCAAGAAGCTTCCAGTCCCACCAAACATACCTACGTTCTTACTCAACCTAAACACACGATAAATAACTAAAAATTATCTCGTAATCCAAGGTTCAACATCAAAATGTCATCTACACCTACATTAATCGGTATGCCCGAACCGCCATCAACTGTTGATACTCCAACCGATGCACCGTACGTAGCTGCCCCCTCCATTACCACTCTCTTACAAATCACTAATCTAAATTCTCTCCAGAGGAACTCCCAACTCAACCACCACATCCCTTTCCGCCCTCTCCACAACCGCCATCAAAGATGGTCATCGCGGCTCAGCCCACCCAACCGCAAGTTCTCACCACCAACACACCCTCTCTAGCAACACTCTCGAAGCACAACGCGCTGATCGAATTTCCCGTCTCGCAGGACTCGAACGAGTCACCACCGCGACCCCTCAAAATCCCAGCGGTAACACCTCTGTCCCCACAACTGGTCAGATCCCAGGTTATTTCGACCAAGCCGGAAACCCCGTCTACACAACCCGCATGTCTACCGTCGGTTCTGCATCAGCAACCGGATCTCTCACCGGTCGAACAACTACATGGGCATCTAATAGCGCGAAAGGACAAACGGAAGCCGATGATGATGAAATGAGCATGGATAATAACTTCCGGGAAATTGATGATCGGGATCGATTTTCCGCATCTGCGATGGATGAAGAAGGCAACGAGGATGGAATGAGCGACGATACGAGTTTAGTCGGTTTTGGCGAAGGAGCCGGAAGTACCGTCAGCGGACCAATATACAGCCGGAGTAATCTCCTCGCGAGTCCCCTCACCGTGGGAAAAAGCGGCCTAGCAAAAGAAGTCTCAAGCAGCAATCCCGGAACCCCCGTCAGCGCATCGACATCCACCACCACCGAGCAACAGAAACGCGATGCGAGAATGCTGGATGGCATCACAGATGATAACACGAGTGGGTATGTAGACACGGCTGCGCGGGGTCAAGGGGTAGGAATCGCCGGGAATCGCAATTCGACCGGTTCGGGATTGGGTACGGGAGTAGGTGCCGAAGCTGCTGAAAAAATCCTGAAAGAGAGAATTGAGGATAGTCCTTCTGCGGCGAGTAGACCACCTCTTGGTAGTCCCGATCAAGCTGGTCTTGGCAAGTTCTATTTCGAGGAAAAGAAGTAAGATGTCTTTTTAACAAAAGTTGCTATTAAGAATTCTGGGATGTGTGTGGGACAGAGTGCATCGAATTTTCCAAAGTCTGGATCGTTCAATATTGGCGGGCGTTGACGTGTTACCCTTCTTTTTTTCTTTTTTTCTTTCACTTTCTGTGTATGGGTACCTGTGATTTGGGCTGGGCTAGGCTGGGCTGGTCTGATAGCGGACGGGTTGGGGACAATGGGGGAGGGGGGTTCTGGGAAGATTACCGGGTGGTTGGGTAGGCTTCTTCTTATGATAGGTATGCTGCGTAAGATGATGCGATATTTTATGATGAATGAAATTGATTGATTCATGAATGGATGAATGAGTGAATGAATACGTGCACGCATGCAAGATTTCATGTGTACTATACTGATGCTACTGTGAATCCGTGTAAAGCGAATTGTAAATGATGATAAGTCTATTTCTCATTTCCAAAGATTCAAATCAGACTCCCCTCCCCTCTCTTCTCTCTTCTCCTTTCTCTTCATAGCAAAAAAGCAAAAATTGTCAATATCTTTGCTCATCACACTTCACCCCACATCTCTTCACAATACATCCCACCATATCCTATCCTATCTTATCCCATCACATCACATCCTACGATATCAATTCATATTCAAAGAACTCTATGGGTACCGCAAATCACTATATTAGATTATAGTAGTGTAGGTAGGTAAGTAGGTAGGTATTATCATATACATCATATGCACCAAGATCATCACCTCGCCTATCCTCTCTCATTTTCACCTCTTCGTCATTTGCTTCCTTATATCCGCCTCTGCATCTCTCCATTCGTGCTTTGCTCACATGCTACATATCCGCTCGATCTAATTCTTAAACTTCAATTCTCGAATCCTCCACTTCATGTTCATCATCCCTATATTCATGATCTCTAAACCTGAGTAATATTGCTCCCTTTAGAATACCCCTCACTTCTTGAAAGTCGCACTTCGTCCACCCCTCTCCCCATTTTGCACTCTTCTCATTCCCTTCTCCGCATTACTACTCTTCTGATATGGGTCAAACGGTTTCTTTTCTTTCTTTCCCTTTCCACCCTTTCCACCTTTGTCTTTCTTATCCTTTTTGGAATTAAGTACCGAATCCGCTTTACTGTAATCGAAATCCTCTTCCTCATCTTCTTGTCCTTGTTCTTCGTCCGCTTGTTCTGCTTCCGATTTCTCTACGTCTTCTTCTCCTTCTTGATTATCGGATTCCTCTTCTTCTGCTTTACGTTCTTGTGCCGCTGCCTTGAGTTCCTGAGCTGCTTCTTTCTTCTGTTGTTTTCTCAATCGTTTCTCCTCCATTTTTGCAAATTTAGCTCGACGTCTTTCGGCTTCGGCGGAGGAGGTATAGTCAAGAGAAATGTCGTAGTCCCCGGTAGCCTTCTGGTCTTCATCGGGATCTGTGATGGTCTCGCTCTTTCTCTTTGAGCCTCGCTTGAGAACAAATGGTTCGTCTTTTACTTTACTAGGTGTGGGTGTTGCAACAGGCGTCTGTGCTTCGGGCATGACCATACGGGATCGATCGGTAAGAGGTGTACTTGTTTCGGCGAAAACTTCTTCCGATAATTGAGGTAAGGGTATTGCGAGTCTCATGCTATCTTGATCCGGAGTTGTGGTTGAGGGCTCCCATATACTGCTTCCAAATGCACCTCCCCAGAAAGAGGATGTCTCCGTTGTAAGTTCGGTTTTGTCTACCGGTGTAACATCAAGTTTGGATAGCTTTTGCGATGTGGATTTCGCTCCAGTGTTGGATTTCGGGGTTGCGGCAGAATCCGGTGATTTTCTGAGGACGTCTATCGACTTTGGACCATCTTTTCCGTTTTCCTTTGCCGCCTTGATAACTTCCAAGAGTTCCCCAGTACGCGATTTTACGCTGTGAGATATTGGTCGAATGATACTGAGTAAGGCTATCATATCCATGGGCATGAATTTGGCTAGATTGACAACAACTGAATTTGACATGACGAAATTAATGCTGTCATCATCCTTTCTTGCTATCTGATCTCTCCAGGCGTGCACAGCTTTGAATACTGAGAATTGCTCACTACTTAACAGAGCAGGCGTTTTGTAAATTAGTGAAAACCATCCTCCTGGCCCTTTTCCAGATTCTGCATTGTATAGCTGCCGCTCATATCGAAGTAACGAAGTCTCTTTAGACTTTTGTAAGACTATATCCATCGAAGTTACTACGGGTTCCTCTGCATCAGGCGTTTCAACATCAGGTGCGTCAAGTAGCTCATTTCGCAAATTGTCAAAGATGTAAAGAAGGAAATGCGTGTCAGCTCTAGCGTAAAAGAACATCTCTTCGGGAAGTGGCCTGGAGAATAGTTAGTTTAATGATATAAAGTCTCATACTATCAGCTTGCCTAATTCGCCAATCTGCTAATTGGTATTTCTTGTCGGCGTCAAAATCAATGTACTTCTTTAATAAGAAGGCTAAGCTTCCTCCAGCAAATCCCAACCTTCTGCATGCATAATGTGTATCGAACAAGCCAACTACATATAGGCCGAGGTCGCGTTGGAGCCATACAATATCCATATACGCACCGTGGAAGACCTAAATCGTTAGCTGACATTGAGGAATTTTGAAAAGTATTGAACATACCTTGATTATATTTGGATCGGCGAAAACTTCATTGAGTACTTGAAGCTGTTGTCTCCATGGCTTGAGAGTATCGACAATCCAATCCTTTTCGCGAGTACTGATTTGCATTAAAGACACGAGTCCAACATATGAACGAGTATCATGATGTTCCAGGTCGACTGCGATTTCCGTAGCACCTTTGAGCTCTTCCAACATCTCCAGAACGCCCTCGTAGGTATCAACAAATTTCGCAGACGTACTTTCAACGGGTAGATATTTTATTGGTTCCGCCTTCTCGTACATAGCGCTCGGGTATTGTAATTGTAAGATTTCCGTTTCATAAGGGTGTTTATACCTGAATTGCTTGTTAGTAAATCTTATAGTGGAACCCATTTCCTGATGCCTTCTTAGTTTTTCCCGTTTTGCTTTGGAGCGACTGGCCCTGGCCGACTTGCTTAAGTCTTCCAGCTTCTTTCCTTCACGCGGGGAATCTGGGAGTAATGCGAGGGGAATAAAATTAAAGTAGTCATACTGTTTTTGGTCGTATTCGTTTGTAATCATTCCAAGACTATCCTCTAATGACACTTTCGCGTGCGGTTTGGTCTTAAGTAGAGGCAGCCATGGCGATGTATTCTCATTGTCAGGTTTGACCTCGAATGCGAGTTGTGGCTTCACAAGGTTTTGTGTACGGAGCGAATTGTCGAGAGGTCGTTTCTGGGATTTCATTGTCGCAGAAGTCTGGCAGATATCAGTATGCAATTCGATAGTTTATGCGATTCAATAATCACCTCTTCCACTTGTTTCCTTTTGATAATTCCAGTATATTCGTCAAGGCAAGTATCCGTTTTTTCGAGTAAGGAATCCACAACATCCACAACACCGCGCCAATTGTTATCAACGTCGTCGACATCTTCTAAAATTGGTACCTGGATACCTGAGACAGAAGCTGCAGACTTGAGCAACTGATTGGCAAGTGCGAGCAAGCGCGCATTCTGTTCGTCGAGAGCACTTCCCACTTCAGGATTTAATGATCGATGAAAGCCGAGATCTTCTGATGCTATATGACCGGCAGTTTTGACGGTTGTTACGAGAGCAGCTTGAACTTCATCTTGTAAGGACTTGAAATCCTGTGTATCTTCTGCCATAATTGACAAAATCAATTTGTTGTTGCGTCGGAAAAGATTGAGTTAAATTCTGCGATTTGATTTGGTCAAAAAATATTCAAAAGTTCAACTTTCCTACCCTTGTCATTATTTCAAACGGTGGGTGGAACTGCCTACACTAGCGTATGTTTCTAAACCTTGTTGCAGGTTGGGTCCTCCGCATTTTCATCAGTTTCATTTCAGCCGGAATTCTAAATTCTTTCACTTACCCACGACTTCACGACTTCACATGACAAAGGATCCCATCTATCGCCACACGAGTTTGGTAGTCATAAGGCACAATCCAAGAACACAACTTACTGTCATATAATCTTGCACCACAATCTTCTCATCATGTCGGCTTCACTTGCACCTGAATGCAATGAAGTCAAGGAGTATGTAATGTCTGCTATATTCTATTCGTTTCTGAACCAGTTTTTAATATGCTGAACATTTCCAAAGACGATATGATTCGTGCTTCTTGAAATGGTATAGCGAAAGTAAGTAAGGTTCGTTATTGGAAGTATAGACATGGACTAACAAGATGACTAGAATACCTTCGAGGTAAAGGTACAACTGATGAGTGTGAATCTTTATTCAAAGACTACCGGAAATGCTTAACAGTAAGTTTGGAAAATCCTTCAGTAGTTCTGAACGATTCCCAATCTAACTAATATAGGGTGCTTTGAAAGAGCGTGGTATTGACAAAATGCTTGAAGAGGCACGAGAGGATCATAAGGAGCATGATGCCGTAAATCTGCGACGGCCTTGTGAGTTATTCGCATTCTTTTCCGGGGAGGGGATATGATGGCTGATTGTTGAGTAGAATGAAATGCATGCATAACATCAGACTGTACAAACAACACTACTACCTATGCATGGGAAAGGCGTTAGGATGGTCTTGCAGATCAAGATTCCACTGTTATTGGGGATATAAAAACTATCTCAACTTTGTATGATGTTCAAAAAACAGTAACATTCTATATCATAAGCAATACAACGACATAGCGCGAAGGCCTTTGAGAGCTACCAAAGTTAAGATGGAGATTCCGTTGAAGGAACATGGCTTATTGAAAGTGCAAATTCTCTACGTCTATCCATTTCATCAATATAGTACAGCATCAATCATGTGTATGATATATCGAATTACATAGCTTAAAACATCTTTATCTTCATCTCCTCTTCCCCCCTCTCCATCTTCATCCCTTTCCCATCAAATGTTCACCAACTTCCAAACTTCACACTAGCACGTGATTATAATTCTTAGCCTATAAAGCTTAATTTCATCTACCCCTGCAAAAGAACAAATTGCTTTCAGCCTTTCTATCTTCGTTTCTCCAGATAAGTTTAAATTCCTGTACTGGGATTGGTTTATATGAAGGGAGATCCAGAAAAAAGAATCCCACCCGAAATCTGGACCCTGACTTTAAACAATTATGTGGGATTCGAGAACCTCATACTTGTGAAAACACCTTTATATACTCTCATCCTACCTAGGTACTACCAATATCTTTCATTCTCTTTTATCCCTCCCCTCTCTACTCTCACTCCTCCTACCACCAACTCTTCCGCCGAGTACCGTGAGCTGCAGAAGCCAGTAAACCCGTCTCGAATTTCCTACAGCAAAATATTACAGTGATGCGCCAGCAATAGGAAACAATTCATGCACCCCTTCTCTATTCTCACACTTGCGATTTTCGTAGCCGGCTACATCACTGCGAGGTGGGATCTGGTTACTAGACTTTATGAGCTTGCAATATTCGCATGGGATCACGGAGTAGTGGTTAGCTTTGATTTCCCCTGAATCAACTCGATACATGTCACTAATATCATTTGGCGCATAGGCACGAACTTTGAAAGGATTCGCGATTCTTTCCCTCTTCTTCTTTTTATTCATTATACCCGTAGAAAGGCTCGCGTCGAGGGAGACGACACTAGTAAAGAAGCATTACATCTACAATCATAAGCCTAGCTAATAACCCAATAGCATCCGCGATCTGGCAGCGTCGGCATATCTGCACGAGAACAATTGCGACGTCGGGGTTCTTTTTGAAGGAAGAGAGTTTATGACAAGTGAGCATTTGTCATGCCCGATCATGATGGATTGATGAGGATCTTCTGGCCGAGAGATATCCCAAGGAGCGATTCACCTGGAGTAATTGTTGGCTGGAGGAATTCTGGCCTTGATATTTTTGTGGTTGCGATATTGGAGGATGTTGACGTGAGCAGCGATAAGGCTATGTGAAATTGGAACCGACTGACGTAATTGCAGGCGCGCAATGTAGAGAATGCATTGAAGGTCGGAACTCTGTTCCGAAATGCCAGTCATCCCATCGAGCGAATATATGAATTATGTGGACAGTCGTCTCTACAGGTATTGGGCTTGACAAATTCACCAAAAGCAGATGTCGATACTCTTCAAATCCGCGCAACTACAGGGTCGGCATACAAATTACCTCAGATATCCTGTGCTCGAGCATCAACGAATCAAATAGTCGTGTTTGATCGACCTCAGCCTAATAGGATGCAATACATATCTCTGAAGCCAATATCATTGGCATTGGATGACAAGGCTGAAATGACATTTCATGCACCAGGAAGTGTTGATGCGGAGGAAGAACGAGAAGAAATAAGACAGAGGAAAAGGACTCAGGAACTAGTCGAAAAGTTGAAGTACCACTCCGTCGTTAAACATCCACCATCACAAAAAGAACTCGCCTTGCCAAGGATAGTCAATCAAATCAATTGTGCTTGGGAGGTCCATCAATTATTACAGAAAAACATTTCGCTAGTTGGAGCTCGGTCAAGGAGAAGTCTGAGCGTGTCGGAAAGGGTAGTGGAGTCAGCAACCACGATGCGTGATTTCGTTCTTTTGACAATATGGCAACTCATCACTCTTTACATATATCCTATCATCAGACGTGGATTTGTTGTTGGTCTCGTTTGTCATAGATTTGCTGCTGAAGCTTTACTACTGATTCTAGAGTGGAGAGCTAAGCCAGATTATGCAGCCTTGAAAGATATCTCCGCAACTGCACAGCAAGTGGAGATACGCTTACAACAATTCTGCTATTGGCCTATGCAATATGTCACACTTCGAAGAAGTAAAAGAGACTGGGGTAGTGTGACAACAAGTCATCCGGACTACATAAGGTTTTATAATAGCCTTTGGCTAGTTGCTAATGACGTGATCATTGGAATTGCATTGGGGTCTTATATTATTGACAACTCCGCCTGGGTAGCAGAGACTATCAGTGATATCCTAAGCACTTATTCTATAGCTGCTCTACAAAGGACGATAAATTGGCTGATGGATTGGCCAGCTGGCTTGAAACTCAATACCGAACTGGCTGCTTTCCTTGGTGATTTGTTCTTATGGGTCATCGAACATTGGTCAAGTATGTTTATCGTCTTCTCCAACAAACAATGCATTAACTGACTGTCACAGGCTGTATTGAAGCTTTGCATCCAGTATTGCCTCATGTTATATGGGTTGTTGGTTTTTCCAGTTTTGCTGGAGCCAGCATGCCAATCGCCCTTTTCTCTGATCTACTCACAATCCTGACACTTCACATCTATTCGTTTTACATGGCTTCTGCACGTATATTCAATTGGCAGTATACGATCCTCCTCTCTCTGTTTCAACTGTTTCGGGGCAAGAAGCATAACGTTCTTCGAAAACGTATCGATTCATGCGATTACGATCTCGATCAATTATTGCTAGGCACGATTTTATTCACACTACTCTTCTTTCTCCTGCCTACAGTAGTTGTATTCTACTTGGCATTTGCATGTGCACGAATGGCAATCATCTCATTGAAAGCTATTTTAGATGCTTTACTTGCATGCTTGAATCATTTCCCCCTTTTTGCATTGATGTTACGACTTAAAGATTCGCAACGATTGCCAGGTATGTTCTCACATAAATTTTCCAGACTACATCACACTAACATACAAAGGTGGCATACGATTTGAACTTCGAGATACCCAACAACTAGCAAGCCAAATACCTAATACCCCATCTCCTCCACCAACATCCTATATATATCTCAAAGTATGATGGTTCTCTTCCTACTAATTTGTTCTCACATTACTAACAGAAACCTACAGTCCGTTCCCCTCACTTTCCGCGCCATGTTCCACCAATATTTTCAACTCGGTCATCGTATCCGTAAACATTACGCTTCACCTCGAGTGCTGCTCTGTCTCGCGACCGGCAAATTCGTTCCGCCTATACATCGCAAAAATCTCTATTCGCTTCAGTACAGCATGTTACCAGCTCGTCGAGCGGGTATTATGGATATGTGGTATGCATTGACGACTAATTCTGATGAGGGAAAGGATAGGAGAAGAGGCAGTGCTGGGTGGTTAAATGGTGGTGTGGCCAGTTTGGCCAAGGGAAATGGAAATTTGAGGAGAGGAAATGGGTATATGGCTCGGAGGGGTGGGCATTAGAAATTACGTGGAATGAATGTGGATGTGGATGAGTGATTGACGGGCTCTTTTGTATATATGATTGGTTTTCCATAGGCCAAATGAGATGAGATGAGACGAGACAAATAAAAAGGAGCGTTGGAGAGGTTGGAGGTGATAGGTTTTGTATGTATGTACTGTATATAGATACGGATTACTTAATGATAATATTTCCAGAATCATCGGGTTTTAGATCTCACATGTTCACAATCGAAATAAGTAAGTGGGTACGTGTATGTTTGTGAAGCAAATTATAATTTTCTTTCTTTCTTTGAATTTCGTGGCATTCATCAATTATTGACTGACTCCCATATTATCACAACCGTTTCTGCTGTGTTTTGCCCTTTCGTGTCCTGTCCTGTCAAGCCATTTTTCTCTCCGCCAAATCCATCAGCAACCTATAATACAAATCTCATCTTCATCCTCTCCACACCTCGCCACCTATCCAACTCTCCTCTACAACTTCCCTTTCGCTTCTCCCTTCAACTCCGCCGCCTTTCCCTTCGCCCCTCCCTTCAACTCTGCCGCCTTTCCCTTCGCTTGTCCAGCTAACTCCGACGCTTTTCCAGAAAGTTCCGACGCGGTACCAGATGCAGAACCGGTTGCGGAAGAGGTGGCGCCTTGTGCTTCAGAGGCTGCGTTGGAAGCGGCGGTTTTGGCTTCAGAGGCGGAGAGGCCGGCAGCGGCTTTGGCTTTTTGGGTTGCGGTTTCTAGAGGGGAGGGAGGGGGTTAGTTATCTGCTGTTGTGTTTGTGGTGTGTGTGGTGTGGTGTGGAGGGGGGAGAAGGGGGAGGGAGAGAGGGAGAGGGTGACATACGACCAACTTCAATACCATCTACGATCTTGCTCGCAACGGCTTTGTCGACTTTATGAACTGTTTCCTTGACGGTTTCGGTAGCGGATTTGCGAGAGATGAAGGTTGAGGAGAAGGGACGGGTGGCTTGGAGGCGTAGTTGGGGGTTGAGGAGATGGGATTGGCGGGAGAGGGTGCGGGTTATGGATTGCATTTTGAATGGGGTGTGTGGTTGTTTGTTTGGTTTGCTTGATTTGATTAATTCGTCGTTGTTGTCGTGTTTTGAGATTGGAATTGGAGATTTCGTAGATAGATTATTTGTTTGTTTGTTGGTACGAAAAAGAATATATATACAAAAGGTAAGAAATCAATATATAAATACCATTCCACTCCTTCCATCAAAGTAGGTAGGGAGGTAGCTCCAAGCAAGCTATTGGAAAGGTAGGAAGGAGCTTCCTTCCGTCACAATGACGTCACTTTCGTTCCACCGCATCGTACATCGTTAGAGGTCTACTTCTAGCTACTAGCTAGGTGATTTACCCCTCTTTTCCACCGATATCGAGAGATAGATAGATACCTAAGTGCCATTACCTCATTCTTGATTTGAGATTCGAGATTCAAGATCAGAGATCTGATGTGATGTGATGTGATGTGAGTGGAATTCATATGTGTATCTAGATAGCTAGCTAGTACATATTGTCATATATTGTGTGTTGAATACAATTACGTGATCAATAAAATAAAACAAGTACGTAGGTAAATGTCATTTTATATACATATCTAGTATCCACCTACAAGTAAACAAGTACACGGTAGAGTAAAGTGTGTAAGTAAATAAGTGATAATACCTACCATCTATCTACCCAGTATATGAAAATCAAGCATCCAATTTTTCATGGGAATCTCCGATTATGCCATTTGCATTCCATCACACATGCGGAATCCGATTTCCAGATACTGGGCCCTTGTATTAGTAAGAAAGAGAATAATTTCCACTGTGTGCGCTTGCAAATAACCACTGCGCATAAGTAAGTAAATAGGTAAAGAATTGTTCTGATTTATTATATTTCAGAAGATACGAATAAGAATAAGTATAGCGAAAAACTTAATAAATAAACCTCTCATCCATAACACCAAGAGTTCATCAATTTACATATTAAAAATTCATCTCCTCTACCCCGCCCATCTCTCTCTCTCTCTCTCTCTCTCTGTACACAACCCTTCCACTTCCGCCGTCCAAAAACTTCCTCTTCTTCCTCCCAAGCCCCAAAACACAAAAAGTATTGAACAGAGGGGGATTCGAACCCCCGCGGGCTAAGCCCATGAGAATGCTAATTGATTTTACACCAATTAAGCTAGGAAGCTTGAGTCACACGCCATAACCACTCGGCCATCTGTCCTGTGAAATCATTATTCATGATTCGTTGGAGATGTGCTGCTTGTTTGCGTATATATTTTCAGGGGAGTAAAAGTGGAGAAGGAAAATGAGAAGATAAAGAATTTTTTCTGAGTCTTGTACCATAGTGGGGAAGAAGGATTGTGTGATTGGGTGGACGATACGATGTGATGTGGTGCATGAAATGATTGATACGAGACTAGCAGGTAAGGGATTCTCAAATGATAAAATTAGATATTCATAGGTTTCTTAATTTTTTAGTCCTTGACTTATTCTGTTTTATCTAGATAAATGTAAATGTACAAATTGTATCGGGTAAATACTAAAAAGTTGATAAATGGATGCCCCGGTATCGAATTCCAGATTGTAAGATAATATACTCCCTCCCTAATGCAAAATGCTGGTGATATACCCCAAAAATGTAGATGCACACATGATTTGAACCCCCAAACGCCCAACTTATTCCATGTAAACATACAACCATCTTTCCCTCTCAATGCCCCATTCACCCTCCTCATCTCAACCCAGAACCATAAATCCCACACCTCCGATAACACCGGTTATTATAAGCGCCGTTAAGATTCCTGCTCCGGCTCTATCTCCACTGGTGATGGGTGTTTCGACTGTTCCATCGCTAGCGGTACTACTTCCACTTCCACCTGCTGCATTTCCTACGCTTGTTCCGCCCGTGTTGTTTGTAACAAGATCGGCTGCTTGCCCAATAAGTGTTGCTTGAATGATACTTAAAGCGCTCATTTGTTCTCCGACTCCATATTTTCCATCGTAAGTACTTCCTGCAGTCCAATGTTCTCCACATGCCCTTCCGCTGGTTCCTCCATCGCATTGTTCTGCTGCGGCTTGAGCAGATGCGTTAATGTAGGTCATGATTGTTGGTTCAGTAAATGGGGCGAGCTTAGTTGTTCCTGCCATCCAACGAGAAAGGTAGGCTTTAAATGATTGTTCATCGGTGTCGCAACCGACGGTGGTAGTTTCGCATGCTGCTTCATACATAACATTATCTTTAAAGAATACACTACTGGCATTCAAAAGTCCTGCTGTTCGATTTTCCCATGTGGATGATCCGTTGGTCTATGAGGCAGGTGTTAGTAGAACTATATGACTTGTCCGGGAGGTGATTAGAAGAAAAGGGGGAACGAACGTAATTGTACATCATGGCGGCTCCGAAAAGATAGATACCAGCGTTATATGTCCATTGTACATGATCGAGAGAACTGCAGTTCGTTGTGTCGGATGTACCATCATACACCTCCCAAGCATCACCGATCAATCCAACAGATTGTTCCCACGTGAATATCTTTTCGGCCCAATCGGCATATGATGAATTTCCAGTGTATCTTGCCAACCTTGCTCCTAAATTGAAGAAACAACCATTCGCAATACTATTCTTATAGTCGTATCCGGAGTTGAATGTAAAGATTTGCCATCTCAACCCACCTCCACAAGTTGATTCATCCCATCTAGTTGCCATATCGTTGAAAACTGCTTGCGCCATTGCTAACCAACCAGGTGTTCCACTATCCGGATTGTCGAAATTAGCCTCTGCAGCGGACATAGCAGCCATTCCCCAGAATCCCTGGTCATCGTTTCCTTCTGTCTTTGTCTGATTGAGAGGCATGAAATCGTAATCGTCGCCAGCTTGATGCAGGAGAGCTTGTTTTACTTCAGCATTATAGGTAGTATCTCCAGTATAATACCAATAGTCGACCATTATACCAAACATAGCTCCTGCCTCCCACCAATAATAGGGGTCAGGTAAGTTACCAGCGACATCTCCGGTATTATTTCCTGTATAGTATTTCATCATATCGTAGGCGACATCGGATGCGGCGGTTTTGATGCTTTCTGATCATAGTTTTTCAATCAGTATATTGCTCTTCACTCAACAGGAAGCAACATAGAGAGACAACATACCATCAGAGCTCAAATCAAGAGTGATTGCACTAACCAAACTACTACATGTTGAGCAAATGGCAGCAGTATATGCCAAGACTTTTCCTCCACTGACCCTCATCTTGCTCCTCTTCCGTGATTCAAACTAGAGTATAGATACTGTATATAACACTTCTTCACCAATCACAATACCAAAACGGGGGGGTCCGATCAATTCCAGATTTGCAAACGATTCGGCCAAACGAGAGTATAAGATAAAATATGCCGGATCGCTGATGTATAAGAAGAAAAGCGTACTATCTTACCATCAAGTCGAAAAGAAACGAAGACTATTCACCAGAATTCAAAGTGAGGAGAGACATACTTCCTACTACACTTACCTCTAGTTCCGTAATAACAAAACTCCTGGTCCACTGTTCTGTTTTTGACATACGGCCCACGGCAAGTCTTCTTTGGTTTCTTCCTTTTAATAGACCTTGCGTGTCAGCCACATCCCAGTGGATTTTAAAACACTATTTTCAGAATCTTTTAGACCCACCAGCGTTTCTCCCTGGGAGAGAAACTAAAGACTCAGAGAGATTTGAAAACCTATGGGCTGAAAGAGTGATGCCTGGTTCATAACAAAATGAATAATGGACACGCATTGGCTTACGCGGTGGGTACGTCATCCTTGTTTGGTTCACGTTTAATTGATTCCCTGGCGGCCCTCATCTCCTAGAGACACCCAAAATTTCCTGATATCTCACCGTCGTGAATCGAGTATCGAATCTTGCAAACGTGCCACTTTTGATCTTGATATAAAACTAGCAAAAAGCAATAACGAACGATGATAGAAGCCAAGCCATAATTGTCTTGGATTGCGATGCTTAGTATGGTCCAAGTCAAGAGAGTAATCCTCCGTTTTTTCTTGATGAAGCTTGAAAAAAGCTTGTCTCCACCAAGTACCGACAAGGAGCCGTTAATGGCGGAGATTGGCGGCAAGGATAATCACCTAGTAAATGGATACGAGATTGTGTGGCTAATCACGTGGAAGCGAACGAAAAGGGGCTCAGGTGGTCGAGAACATTGAAACTTATCTGTTGATGAAAAGACCTCTGGAGTAGTTCTCACTCGTTCATGTTTGGTCGTGTTCTACTTTCACATAAGATGAAGTATCTTGAACTTCAAACTTATGATGCACACCAAGAATATCGCTGAATCTTCGAAATCACCTTGATGATTATAATTTGGTGATCTTCCCATGACCCACAACAACTTTGTCATGATTTTCATGCAACTGCTCATGTGACCAGACTTTGTCTTCCGTTGGATTCGATTATCATTTGATAACCAAAGTTCTATGCGATGATACTTCGTATCATTTGCGCCCATCAACAATGCCAGATTCTTTGATAAAATACGTGGTGATATTACATACGGTGATAACATCGCAAATAGTCAGGTGCTTATGACAAGATGTAGGAAGATTTGTAATACGATGTTGCCAATGCTTGGTAGGACAGTATGTAAATAACATACAAGAATGTGGTCTTTCTTCAATGGACAGAGCAGAGTTGCTCTTTGGTCAATTTTCCCTTTCAATCAATCACCTGACAAACAATTGCTATATCCACGGATGTTGGGTGTGTACACTTTGCAGTTACAATTGTGGTTGTGGAAGCTACGATGGCGCAATCATGCAAAGCCAAGAAAAGTACCTTGCTGGTTAAATGATCAAACCGTAAACAAAGTCCATTATATTATGATTCACAGTATTCTTTGGACGTTCACGCTCAGCAACCTTGTTGGGTTCAATATCATCAAGGTACTTATTATATCTTTACAAAGTGTATAGATTTATTATCTTCACTGCTCCCACTGTACTCTCTTTGGTTTATGATCTCTCAAACATACAACGCATTCCAGCAGCCACTTAACTTTTCTCTATATCTTTCAAATCAGCAATCATGAAGGTTGTTGGCCCGCAAACGAAAAGAGAAATAGATGTTGGAAAACAGTCTCTCAAAAATCTGCTTGATCTTCAAATGGCTGACAAACTAGACATGGTTTCCAAGTGGCCAAGTCAATGGTTTAATATCATATTGGGAAAACATCACAACCATAAGGATTACAATGGTGTAATAGAGCTTTTTCATGAATTGGATCTATGGGAGCTTAGATCATTTTTATTGAAAGGCTTGACTTGCAGAAACCTCTCGGAATATCGTAATATTCGGTATCCACAAATCGAATCGAGTCCGAATACACAACTTGGTGACCGCACTTTTCCTTCCTTCAAGAAACTGCCAGCCGAACTTCGACTTGATATTTGGGAATACGCATTCGCGGAAGATCTCCTCCCAAAAGTCCATCATCTAAATAACACAGACCGCAATACTGGAAAGATCACCGACTCAATCACATCACATCTCTCGTTCTCGAATATCGTACAAGTCTGCAAGGAATCCCGAGAATGGTATCTTTCGCGAACGCACAATACCTGGGCATTCGGAACATACGTCAACTTTCATACCGACATTTTGTACTTGACCAAACAAGTTGAGGCATCCAAAATTCTTTACGAGACTCTTCTCTCTTGTCCTCACATGAAAAAGGTTCAAAATTTGGCATTGCGTCGAACATTTCTTACCGATAACCCTCAAAATGCTTTCACCCAGGTTGAAGCATCCGAATATATTCGAGAAAAGATTCCCTCTTTGAAAAACATCTACGTCGTCATAAACGAAATCAGAGACTCAGCAATCATCGACCGGGATAATGAAATCAAGTTTCGGCATCTCTCGGCAAGACAAAAGAGAAAGTGGGTAGACATCGGGTATGCTAGGACTTGGTTGAAATGGGTGAATAAGGTTATGATCGATAGGGGTTACAATAGTGTGAATCATCATTTTGTGATGGTTGGTACTCAATGTACAGATGTATTGTCCTCAAATTATGGAGAGGTGGCCTTCGAGAGGAAGATTCGTGATGGAAGTCTTGCGCTATTTTGATTAGTGGTAGGCATGTCTGTCATTTTGCTTTTCAATGCATGAGTATGTTTACGGTGCTTTGGTCGGAGTTAAGGCTGGAAGCATTGCGGGGGTTGGGTTGGGTTGGGTTTATGAGCCTGAGTTTATGGTTTCGCTGCTTGCTTATGGACTATCTGAGGTGTATTGCTGGATATTCCATGGGATTGAAGAACTGGATGCAAATTATGAGATATGACAGAGGTGATACTGAAGAGGGGTCTGGAAATGGAAGGTTAAGCAAGTCAACCGGATAAGCATAGTCTGGAGCAGTATGGCCATGGCTAGCTCATGAGGTACAACTCGTCGAAGGATATTATACTGGACGATGCATGAGGTTCTAACATGAGCGGTCTCTCATATGTATGAATTAATGAGTTTAATCACACTTTTTGAAACACCTTTTGCGCCTTTATACATATTCTATATTTACTTGTAAAAGAACCTACCAATGATATATCAGTCGGCCCATTAATTCTCCTCATCGTACCCTGTACATTCATCGATTGTGAACTTGATAAATCCTCAGGATAGCTGACATCAACAAACACTGTATTATCAGGAACAAGAAAAGACGCGGCATACTCGTTACAGGAAGAAAGATGTGAAGGGCATCAATGATTGGTTGTGAATGAATTTATGCATTTGTTATTCAAAAAGTAAGTCCCTGTGATTCAGAGACGTTGTATGTAAACGTCTATCGAATCAAACCCCTATGTTATATCCCGATATTTTTGATTTCTTGACTAGCTTTCAAAACGCGATTTTGTAATGTCATTGAATTTTTGCTGAAGGTAGGTAGATAGGTAGGCAGATAGATAGTTATGATAAAACTTCAACTTTACGGTTTTGAGTTAGGATTGAATATCTTTTTGAGCGAGTGAGTAGTAGTAGTGTGTGTGCTTGTTTTTAATTGAAAGAGAGAATTCTTGTATTGATTTTGAAATGCTTTAATGAGTCTATTTATTATATACAGAATTATAGACAAGTTAGATATAATCAAGAGTACTATCGAATTATAGAGCTTTTTTGAAATAAAAGAATCGAAGAAACTTCTCTAAGCTGAGTATTCGAAATTTAACATCTGAATGTTTTCAATGAAGTTGTAGAAGCTACCTGAGAAATCAAGCGTACCAAATAAATATGGGGTAACCTCGGAACAACTACCCGATGTTACACAACCCCAAAAAACCATCAAATTTCCAAAACAGAAAGAGCGAACAACCACCTACCTCACAGTTCCAGAATAGAAAAAGCTAAAAAGACAAAAAAGTTTAGTGGTCGAGGTTTACCTCAACTCGCAGAATGCGGCTTCTGTGGATCGAACACAGTGCCTCCAGATTAATGAACTGAAGTGTACTTCAGTCTGGCGCTCTCCCAAGTGAGCTAAAGCCGCTTGAGTGTGTTTGTTTGATGAAAGACACGTGATTATTTGGATATATATTTTAACAAAAGAAATGATGTGTTCATGTGTGAGTGGAAAAAACGGTCTCCGGAATCTGATTTTGATTGTGGATCAAATTAGCGTCGCATTTGATTCTGCTTCTGAAATCACTGTTTGGGGACCAGATTATAAAAAGTGAGTCTATTCAGATATTAATTTTGTGAGTAGGCATACAAATCACTATTATTTTTAATCAATATCAAATTTTCGAAATTAAGATCAAGCTGGAGAGACTGTTTTGAAGGGTGGTTCATATTCTTGTGGCTTAGATCAATTCGAATCTCGAAGCCAAATGAAAGGGTTTCAAGCTTTTTAACTTCACTTGGATTTCTTTCAATCATTCAATGTTATCATCTTATAAAGCTTGGTACTCAGAAATATTCAATTGCTAGCTTTCAAATGAAATCATTTTTGTTGAATTCTGAATGGAAACAGCGATTTTATCGAATATTCAAATTCAAACCTATAGAACTCCTTCATTCGAGATTGATAAGCGAACAGCTTCATTTCCTTCAAATTTGGAATCAACGTTCGAATTATCATCCGGTCGTCAAACGTAACACCCTCAATTATCAAGGTGATCATCAGATTGGCTTTTTTCGGACGATTTATGATTTGAGTATCAAACCAAAATCTATACATATGCTTAGATTTTCTCAAACAGGTCAGTCAATTCGTAAGCCAACAGAAAGATCAGGATTTGTGTGAGGTAGTCGTTGAACGGGCTCCAAATCACTCAAATAGAATCATACATTGAGAACACTCATAGCTTAATATCTTATAGTCAAATCAATTGATATCGAACAATATTGAAAATAATTCTCATGGTAAATCGAAAGATTTTCGAATAACTCATTTTGTTTTTGATTTAAATTGATGATTACAAGATTTATTATTGAATATTTAAAAGAGTATATATTTTTTTGGGAATGCTTCGTTTTTCCGTCCTACTGGAAGATGTCAACAAAGTCTTTAAGGCAGCGAAATAAGTCTTCGGATTTGCGTGTTTTGATATTATTGATCAATTGAAATCACGAGACAGCTACAGATAAAATCACAGAATCGAAAGCATCAAACGAAAATTCAGCTTTTGACTTATTTCAGCTTTAAGAAGAAGTAATAGCTGTGACGACTTTTCCAAAGGTACTCACTCAAATTCGGTCACTAGAGGAGGAAGCTTCTTGTGATGTCCATTGAAATTTGTACGTATTCTTCCCAGTTGCCATGCAGTGAACTATAAGAATGAAATACGTTTGATAACTGCAGCAAAACGAATTTCACCCTTTTGACTTCTACATGGCTATTTGGAAATTAGACTATGACTTTTTCCCCCTCTCGCCTTTCATTTGGTCCCTCTCAACCACTTATCCACAATCCGTTAACTGCCATTACCAGCATCCCATTATGCATTCCAATCAATGCGCAACGAGAAATGCGATAAAAGTCGGTGTTATTATGTGGCGAGCTCAAACTATATCGAGCATTGGCCTTTCTCATAGCATATTCTCTCGTGTGGAATGAACTCTCAAATCGAAGGCATGGATGGTTTGTTCATTTTGGTGTTTGCAAAGTGAAGATCTTGTGGCTGACGATATTTGAACGCTTGAGAGGAACGGTCTGAATATGACTAGTGACTCCATTGGCTTACCGTTGCACTGATTTGAAATGAAATGTCGAGGTTCGACAAAGTAACCACTGCACGTCACTATTACGTTTTGTGCCTGCAGAGCTGTTGACTACTGATCCACAGGTTCATACTCCTCTGCCGAACATTGACCATTTCATTACTCCATCACTGATCGTCACTCGGTTCAAAATACGACGAGGCTATGCAGTTTGATGTGACATTTTCAGTAAACTATGCCAAGTGACAGCATCTGACTTGGGAATCAGATTGGATTGATTGTATTTATACTGCAACCAGCCCATTGTGTGCTTTGCTGCATCTTCAACCTCTGATCGGTCGGCTCGCATCTCCACCCACAAAATGATTCACGCATGCAGAAAAATATCACATGCCAAATCGAGTGCCATAAGAACAGAATAGATCACGGAGAAAGTATTTCTCGTTCCTCAGTGTCCCCATTGATTCTATCACTGCGTCTTGCCATGTTGTTCCCTCAATATAACCGTCAGATCGTTTCAATTCACCCTATTTTCCCACCCAAAACCAAACTGTCCGAGGCAAGTGTACTCATCCAGGACATAAATGGGTAGTGGTGGGTCTCCCGAGATTCGGTCCAACACACCTCCCGAGGCTCGGCCCATATCCAAACACTTCAGCAGTTGTCCTGCATGCTGTATTCTACCAGGTTCTGCTACCCTTTACCCGGTACTTCCTGATTAGACAAAACCTCCCCTGTACCTGCATGTTATATCTTTGACTTTTCTACGTACCGTACCTTTATAACCATGGTATGGGGACGGAGGAGTCGTGAGCGTGGCCAAGTATTCTTCGTGCTGCAATTTTTGGCTGCCCGAATTAATTTATGATGCTTCAGCGTTTACTTGAACATTTTGTTTACAGTTCGATCGAAGTTTGGTAACAAATGTAAGATTCAAAGAAAGGCAAAAGATGCTGAAGCGTAGTCTGAAAGACGAGGCTGGGTGTGGTTCTTTTGATATGCGCCTCGCAAAGTCAAGAAGTAAAAAATTTCCGAGCCACCCGCAGTTGCTTACGCGAATTACGCCTAATGTTGCACTCAAGACCAAAGCCGATACAGTGTGTAACTCGCAACTCGTGTCCGTCTTTTCTTAACTTGGTATAAGGTGAAAATAGCTCGAGTATACCACCAGTAAGGAGCAAGGATTATTCTGTATATACCTTCCGGATGGCGCCTCATGCAAACTAAAGTATGCGGCAACGTTTCCTTCTAAGAGACTGGTATAAGAGTGTCAGTCGATTAAGCGATAAATGACATTCGTACTACGTAGAGTATATTGGTAGTTTTGAGATTATGGCCACAGACTTGATTTTTTAGGGAGGAATGAGGCGAGGAACAATATCTTCCCCTCTTATATATACAGAATGGGAAGAATACGATATACGACACGCCCGTCAGCAAGTCGCTTCAAATTTAACGATTAGAAGCTCGCTCCAGCTTTTGCAGCCGTATATCCAAATCTGTAATAAAACCGAGATTTCTCGACTTCTCAAATCTGTCTTTTTTCTGCATTCTGTTTTTCTGCACGTGCATTCAACTCAGCTTTTGAAGCTCGGCGTTAAAGTTTCAATTACCTATTTGCCTATCCGTCAGTTCAGAATTATTGACGCACAAGCCTTTCCAATAACTCATAACCATCAATTCAAGTACCAACAAGAACTTCGATATGGCTTTGGATGACTCTGCCACGTTCAAGTTAGTTTATGCTTTTCCGTTCTGTCTGGCCATCTCACCATTTATATAATTTGATATGGAACGTCGAGAAAAATCTTTTTGTTGTTTCAGTGGGGTACCACGCTTATAGTCGCAGACCGGTCTGTTATCCCATGGCTTCGTCTTTGTTTTTGATATGAATTCCTCTCGGTTTTCAAGTATGGTAGATTTTTCATGTGCCATGCTTCACATGTCTTCGTCTTCCTTCAATTCCTGTACTGAATCCCTCTGCCTACACAGTAGTGGTGACCCGACATCCCCTCTTTGCAGTGGAAAGAATCCACTCGTCTCAATCACTTCGTTTCTCATCTTCCGCCCACTCATTGACCCACCTTTCTCCACCATGGAGAAAGAGCATACGCCGCTATCTGGCCGACGATGAGAGTCCAGTTCTATATCCTTACACGTGCGGGAACCTACGCATAGGCCGTACTAAGCTGGTCACCGTCGCCGCGGCAGGATTTTGAATTGGCACAAGGTTGGCCAAATTTGATAAAAAGTTTCGGGGTGGTGGATAACGATAGTTTTCAATACATAAGGCGGATAATTTTCAATGTTGATCTGAGCGTTGCTTGTCAGATGGCTGGAGCGCTCCGTCTATATAATGCATTGGGAAAAGATGCATGAAGAGGGCGATTTATAGAGTGAAGGTGTGGGATCAACTCTAGTGGCTTTTTGGTATTTGTGTCATTTCAATTCTCGCTTTCAAGTAAAAATATCTTCACGGCGATCAAGTGCAAGGCTTAACTTTAACCGCATGTTCACTCCGTATTTGATCGCCACCAGTATCTTCAATGTCATGAGGCTCCATAGAATAATCGATAGACACAGGTTTTGCCACTGATTGTACGTGCCGATCTGTTTTTGTGACCTTCTACTTGGAATAAAGGTATGGCCGCTTAAATAGCACTTGCTCTGTGGTCCACAGTTTTGAGTTTTGTCAATGAAGGATATACTTCGCCATAATCTTTCGCTTATCTTGAGTCTGGCTACCCCCACTTATGTATTTCTGAAGATTTTAGGAAAACATGGGAGCAAATACGATAGATTCTTATAACATAGTGAAAGCCGTCAATATTTCTTTAATCATACAATGCAATAAGTGTCTAACTTTTCGCAACTAAAAGATGCCCCGCCATTTGCGCCTTAATGATCTGGGTATAAATAACAAAATAGAAGAATGAGAGAGAGGTTTTCCCTTTGTCTAACACGAAGATCCATCATGGGCTAACTCCCTGACGGATTCTGACTGGTTGTGTTTCGGCGACTTAGACAGCTCTACTTGATAAGTATAATCTGCGCGAATCCCCTGCTGAGCATCTAGTTCCGGGTTGTGATCGGAATCTCCATCGTGCAGTCTACTCCAATCTCCATCTCCGTGTGCGTGCACTGTAGCGAATGTTGTACCGGTGTCGGTAGGATTGCGAAAGACTCGACCTTTGGTATTGTGTCGGGCACTTATCGGTGCGCTACCAAAAGTGACGAGATCTTTTGGGCCATCTGGTTCGGATGTTGATTTTTTTGTGGCGCTGTTGCGCATGAAAAAGCGACCGACTGTAGGAATCGAGCTTGCTACACAACCAATGGCTGTTTCTATGTTGGATAGGAGAACGATGAAACCGGTATAGTCTAGAGATCTATAAGCATTATTGTCATTAGAGAACACTGTTGAATAACTTACAGAGCAGGTTATCTGTGGGAGTGCGGTAGTTTTCAATGTACGGTGCTCGAATCATTGTCGATATTGAAGCACTAATTGAAAGACTCTGGTTAGTTACACCGAACGCTTAGGCAGTAAGGATTTGAGGAATTGTCTTACACAGAAGCGAATGACAAAAGCAAGCCCACTTGTATCTTCCTTCCCAATGGCATCTGCGTCCTATACAGCATTACACCAGGGAACACTGCGCAAGCCAAATCTGTCACAATGGTACAAGCTGTCGAGGTATAGCTCAATGCGATCATTGTGCCCATGCCCGAACATGTCCCTTTTCCTTCTGTTATCAACGACGTATCCCAATTTGCAGCCACAGGTCTGCATAGAAACAGAATTCCAATGAAAGTCACCAAGAATGTCGCGATGGTGAGACCGAGCAAGCTCAAGACGAAAAATCGGTACGTCTTGTGCGCGCTAGCTATACGCAAGAGAGTCACACAAATCGAGCTTTTGATGATTGCCAGACCTAAAATATATAGCATCATCCATAGCATGAGGTACTTTGTGCCTTGTACCGAGAAGAAGGTATTTAGCCTGCTATTATGTGAACCAAGGCCAACTCGAGCACCATGACAAGCCAAAGCGACATCGGCGATGTAAACGATCTAGTAAAAGTTAGTTTCAAGTTGAGAATTGAAAAGCTGGAGTGACTTTACCAGTCCCAGGACTATCAATTTATCGTCCCAGCCGAATGCATTGTCATTAATTCTGACATATGTCCTTACGACTATGGTAATCGTCGAAATACAAAGGCAGACAAGAGACACGGCGAAGATTGCCAAAGGGAAACCTTCGAGGGGAAGTATTGTAGCATCGACATCGGCCATTTGCGCGTCGAGTCGATTCTGGTTCAAAGAGAAGCGTGGTGTGTGTTTGTGAAGAATCGTATCATCATATCTGGAGACAACGACATGATGTACTTCTTCATACTCTATAGTCTGAAGGAGTCTATATTATGAACAAGGATCCGATGCATAGACATTTTCCCCAGGGTTCCGGAAACAAGATATTCTATACACTATCCACTGATGTCCCTCGTTTATTCCGGATCTGGGACTCGCACACTTGCTTCCGAGAGGACGAGCCTTTTCGTGGGATTCCAGAGTTTTCGTTTTCTATTGCGGTGAAAATGATCCCACTTTCCACCCCTTTCATATTTGGCCCCACATTATCCACTACAAAATGGGTGGGCCGGATCGCGGTGGAGTGGAATGATTGCACCTTGACCAATCTTGAATGTCCAAAAGCCTTATAGAGAACTGCTCTATGAAATTTGACAGGGCTTGTTCCACTTTTTAGTTGTCGTCGTTAAACGACTGACTTCCTCCTTAGGCTAGTGTGAGAATTCTGAGTTTGATGGATTGGTTCTGTATTTTTACAATATTGCCAGGTATTGAAACTCTGAGATGAGCCATGGATTACCCGTTTGTCACTAGTGAACTTTAATAGAGGTATATTTTCGATATTATACATGAAATGAAGGTTCTAGATGACAAAAACATGGCACAATCGTTGATTCGCTAATGACGACCACGTACTCATTTCGATTAGTAGGCTTGGCAACTGCTTCGTTGCAGAATTTTGCGTGCAACGTGAAATTTTCTAAGGATTCCTCTAATTCTTACCTACTAGATAGTTTGCAGATGTAAAAGGTTTTTTGCCGTGAGATCCATGTGGACGGAATGATCAAGTCCCCAGTCAATTGACAAGTTGACAGGCTCTGTACGGTGTACTATCTGTACAATGCAAGATCTTGGATATTAATTCCCAACGGTCACCACCAATGACCCCACAGTGAAGAGAGGTTTTGCATAGGGGGCCTTGGGCTTTTCTGTCCCCGGGCGGAGACGATTCCTAAAATCTCACGAATGCAGCATGGGATTGATTAAAGTTGCCATTCATTGCCCCTTCGGTAACCTTTTGCTCCACCATCATGTGTCATGGGCATGTTACCCATGGTATGGGTCTCATACATTGGTATGCAAACGTGGGGGGTTGATAGTCTCTTCTTTTCTTCCTCCCGTCACTTACTCTGGAAAATTAACGTTTTACCTTTAACCCGCACTAGATTTTCAGTACCAAAGATTTTTTAGTGATCCAATATTCAACATGGCTTCTAACAACACCGGTCGAGTGCATGAAGGCAAGGTTGCGATTGTAACAGGTTCAGCACGAAGTAAGGATTGATAGATTACCCGTTTCCCAATGTCTTAGCTGATTTTGTTTCTAGGCATTGGTGCTGGTATTGCTAGAAACCTCGCATCTAAGGGTGCCAACATCTTAATCAGCTATCTAACCGAAGGTTCTGACAGCTCTGCTGCTGAGCTCGCAGAAGAGCTTACTAAGAACCATGGAGTTGTTGCCGTACCATGTCGATCTGACATTTCTACACCTGAAGGCTGCGCAGCCATCATTGAGGCATGTAACTCAAAGATGCCTCCAAATGCCAAAACCAACAAGCTACAAATTGATATCCTGATCAACTGTGCTGCTATTATGATTGGCATTGGTCCTCTTGAATCAGTTACGCACGCGGATTTTATCAAGTCGTATGAGACCAATGTGCTAGCTCCTATCTTGCTTACAGGAGCATGCAAACCATACCTACCAACAGATCGATCCGGAAGAATTGTGAACGTCTCAAGTATCGGACAAAAGGTCGGCACTCCATACTTGACGCTTTACAATGGAACGAAGGGTGCACTTGAGGCTATGACAAGAACTTGGTCAAGAGAATTGGCTGAAAATGCCACCGTCAACACTATCAACCCTGGTTCGGTACTCACAGATATGTTCCGTCAATGTAGCGACGATGTGCTTGCAGCTCAAGCACAATGGAGTCCGTTGATCCCATTGTCAGGTGTACGTGAGTGGGATACCGAAGAGGTCAAGGCAGTTGGCAAGAAATGGGGTGGTCGTCCAGCATATGTCGAAGAAATTGCTAGCGTTGTTGGTATGGTTTGTAGCCCAGAGAGTGCATGGATGACCGGTAGTGTTGTCAGCGCCAACGGCGGTCAATGTTTTAGCACTTAAAATGTTTAGTATCGTGTAAATGTCGACATTTATCTAGAATACAAGTTAATTCGTGTTGGCTGAAACTTTAACGTTGAGTAATTACCAAGTGGCAGACAAGATAATCTTGAAATTTGACTGGATTTCATATAACTGAGCTAACCGCTATCTTGACGGTGGTACCACCAGAGCACCTTGTCTGGCTTTAATTTGTACACCTAATTCTCAGTCCGAATCTATAACATCTATCCAAGTATCCTATCTCTATTCTTTTGTCATGGCCTTTGTCCGACTTCCCACCTCTTCCTCTTCCTCTATGTTTACAGCATCTTCAAAAGTTTCATCTTCAAAATAAAACTTCAAGTCGAATCATCCCTTTCTAAATCAGAATCTCACTCTTGCCTCTGTCCTTGACGCCAGTATCGATCCCACCTTTGGCCCCCAGCTCCCTCATAATCCACTCATATGCTGTCCACTGTGCTGCATTCACAATGAAAGCCCTAAAACTACATACACCAAGTCCCCTGAAAAACACACCCATGCCTTCATTGTGGTATGCTAGTCTTGCTATTTCTAAGGCTCCTCTGGGATTACATGGTGGAGATCCGATAAGAAGGGGTGTGGTTTCCGTAACCGATGCAGGAGAGAGAATTTGAGTTTGCAGTCTTGTTTTTACAACGTCAAGGGGGAAAACACTAGCCCATGTCACCACACCGGCTACGCCACCGCAGAGAAGAATTTTGATTGCTTCGTCCCTAGAACTGGTAGTATCCTCCATTCCTGGCGATGATGAGAGAACGTAAGAAGTGTAAAGACGCGATGATAACTCATAGCTCCAAAAATAAAACCCGTAACCTATACTATCTCTCAACGCGGTAACTACACCTCCGAAATACAGACCCCGGATTCCGGTTGTAGATACAATAGAGCGAGCTATCGCAAGGGAAGAGACGGGAGGGTTAGAGAGCTGAGCGCGACATTTTATCAATTCTGTTGGGGTAGAAACAATAGAGGAACAGAGACCACCAATAGTGCCTGCAAGAAAGGTCGAGAATAGGGATACGGATTCCGGACGGTTGGGGGTGTAAGTAGGGTGGAGCAACGAGAGTGTTCTGTTATAAGTTACAAAGAGAAGGGCGTTGAGAGCACCTGTTGAGAGAATGGGTGCGGCAGTTCCACGGATAAGGGAGCTAGGGGTTGAGAAAGCGGTAGTAGGCGGAGTAGAAGTGAGCGGGGTGAGAATCGGAGAGAGACCATTGGCACGTGATGAGCTCGAGGCTTGGAGACGGACCTTGAGGAGATCAAGAGGATTGCCGATTATAATACTGATGGCACCACTAATGTAACCAGCCCAGAAATCTGCGGACATTGTCCGATCTTTGTGGATAATAAAGGGGTATTGGCAATTGTCTTTATCGTGGGATCATGTCTCGGATCAACGGATCGTATGTCGACTGAAGTCTGAGGGATAAATTGCCGATAGGCTGTAAATTGGTTCCCGCTTTAAGACACCCAGTACTTTCTCTGAAAGCCGTGTGTCGCTTGCTTCACTATATATACAGTAAACAACTGTTCTGTTCCTTCGCTCAATTCCAGCTTTGTCTATGATAGAAAGCTAGCTATCATAGTTGGCACTAAGTGAGGGAGACGCCTTTGCACTTCAGTATAAGATATCCACCGGTACTGACTTAGACTCTCAATAATGTGAATCCATTCGCTCGTTTTTGCTGGAACCCGAGACATTCAAACAGAGAATCGGGAAATATAAGTTGGCGGGGTATATTCCTTGGCAAAGCACTAGCTCTCTGGAACGGAATAATGAATATCCGAACCAAACCAAACAGACAGAGATGAAGGGATCAATCAGCGTGTAGCTGGAGTATCCACCCAAGAAACTCTACTCGATACACAACGGCAATCAACTAAATCCTGCTAGACCTCCTATGATGTTTGATTCTAATAGATTAAAATGAACAGGGTAGCAACTCAGGGGCTGGCGTCTTTTGTCCCATTTGGGAATTGGAGGCCCTTGCTTCACACGAATTGCAATCCTATCACTAGAAGGCCTCAGGGCTCTGTTTACATACAGAGAGGTCCACAAATTTAGACGACACCGACAAATACCTAGAATGGCTTCGCACTAAATCTTGGACAGAAAGTAATACAGAAATGCTTGAAACCAAACCCCTTCTCCCCTATGAGGGACAGAATCTTGCTTTGGAAGTCTAAAAGTCGTGTGCAATGTCAACACGAAGCGTTGTAATTACGTAACTTACATATTTTCGTGATCACTCGTTCAGGCTCCATCTCAAGAGGAACTAATATTGACCAACATTGGATCAGCGATGTCACTATACAAATATGGAGAGCCAAGAAGCATTCCATGCTACAAATAAACAGAAGTTTCCCTCTTGAGATAGGCATCTCATATCTCATCGGTGGCACAAAGAGAGGGGAGTGGAGAAGTTATGGTGACTCAGTTCAAAGTTCAGACCCAGTCACATTATGCAAACCTCAAACACAAACTATAGTGTTGATTGAAGCCCCTATATGACATAGAAAGGCTGTACCCCCGAAACGTATGTCAGTAGAAGGGTCAGACATGAGGATCGGCAGGAAAACCGATAATTTCTGAGATCTTGTGGTGGAGGCCTTTAAGAAGTTGAGAGGCATATGGTACACAGGGAACGGTGCGGCTGCGAATGATAGAAGACAGGGGAAGAGAAGAAGTGCGTACATAGGTCATGGGATGCAATCCTTTAACAGGATGTTTTTGGCTGAAACCATGTGGCTTCTCGATTGGATTGACTATGCTTCCGCTGCGAATTCAGTACACCGGTTCTGAGCTCTAAGTCCAGCAAGTAGTTTATTGGCAGATCTTACAGGCTTTGCTTCGTACAAATTATATTATCGTCTTCCACTACATAATTGTGAAACTCTAATCAATTCGTGCAATTTTGGTTTAACAGTGGCAGCCACGTTGCACCGCATATTGGCGATCATTTGAAAACTTGCATTGGGTTGTAGTACAGTACCACAACATTTCAACTCCGAGGGAGGAGTACACGGAAGAGGTGCCATAACCTTGGGAGCCATAAAATATACGTACAGAGATCATAAACATTATGTTGTATGCTGCCGCTCGTTTTACAGCTTACCAGGCACATATGTAGATTCAATCCGACTCCCTTACAGTATTTTCACTTGCAGCCCACTCTAAAATCAGTGTACTTGCTGTTGACATTATTACCATTACCAATGACAGAGCTCGAATATATCAAGTCGAGCGAAAGAATCGGCAGAGTTGGCTCAGTAGTTGAGCTTAGAACGACTTCTGTGAGCAGATATCTTCATCACAACAAAGCTGTGTCCGAGGGTGAATATACCTCTGGATGGAGGCTGCATCTAATCACTTTAGCGTATGCCCACCATGCTTTGTCTGCTATCGAAAAGGGTGTCTACTAACCCTATCTAATTATTATCTATTGTAGTTTGAGTATGAGCATTTTTTCGGCTCAGATGGAGTCATCGCTCTTCAGTACTTCCTTCTACCGTCTCCATCACCAATGAGTTAAAAGGATTCGATGAAGCTTCATGGTTCTTTACTTCTAATATTCTCACATACGCTGGTACTTGACCAAAAACCTATCATGCTAGTTTCAAATTTTAAGTGGTGAATAGGTCTTGTCATGATCTGGGCGAAGCTCGGCGATATTTTTGGAAGGAAGAACTTGATTCTGTTGTGGCTACTGTATTTACAATAAGCTGCGTCAATAGCCCAACATGCACAACTATATCAGGACCTGTGACTCAAGTTGAGTCTCTTGTGGCACACCTCAAAACCCGGCAAATATTCACCCGGAAGCTACAAGTTAGCGTTGGTTTTAACTCTCCTCAGATGATGCAAGTTGAGTCCGAATATTTGCACTTGATTAGTACAATATAGAGAGGAACTAGTCCGGCAAAACATCAGATGGTCTCCTCTGTGATGGGAGATATCATTTCTGCCGACGTACTTTGCACTTCGTAGTACTGAGTGCAAAACATGATCTCGAAAGTGGACTTCGTCGGGGCTGTTCAGCGGTGTTATAATCAGTCCACAGTTGTGGAAGTAAGGGAAAAGCTTGATCAAAGTCATCTGAATAAAGTTTCAATCAACTCATGGCTTGAGATTGGTCCTCATGCCGCACTTCAAGGACCTATACGCAGTATTCTGACATCTGTGAAGAAAGCTCACACATCAATTACATACAGTTCGGTTCTGTTACGAGACAAACTCGCAGTACATCAAAAAAATTAACTTGAACGATATGTCTTGGGCAAAAGATCATAGAATCAACGGTATCATCTTGTATCCTGCAGCTGGTGTCCTTGCGATGGCCATTGAAGTTATGAAACAACTTGATGACAACAGCTACAGGGGCATTGATTTCTTCTCAAAGCCTAGGATGGAAGCTTGTTTTGGACAATAAATCCGGACTTCAGACCGAGGTTGCGCAGAAGCTCGAGCAACATGTGAAAAAATCGGGAGAATTGCTCGGCGAGTTGTCTATTTTGATAGATTTGGCATCATTACCCAATTTTTAAGAAAACATAAATTGTCTTGATCGAACTCGATCGCCCGGTGATCCGAAACATTTCCGCAAAAGAATTTGAAGCGATCCAAACCCTGTTTTCTTCCGCAAGTAAAATTCTTTGCGTCACATCAGGAGGTAGCAACATTATAAATTCCGACTACAGTCCGATTCTGGGACTTGCACGCATGCTGCGGCAAGAAATTCTCGGAGTTCCCTTTACCGCATTGGCGTTGGAGGATTCAACAGAGGAGCGGATAGAGCGGCATACCACAAATATAGCTAGAACTTTCAATCTCATATCAAAAAGCACAAGTAAGTTGGAACCAGAATACATGGACGGATTTCTTGGTATCAACCGCGTTTCAGAAGCCACAATTGTCAATAATCACACTTTTGAGAGAACAAACTGCGTGGAGAAGACTCAAGAATTCAGAGAAGGACAACCATTACAACTTAATGTCAAAACCCCAGGACTTATCGGCTCTATTGAATTTATTGAAGACCGACAAATATCCGAACCGTTGGGCGCAGACGAGGTTGAGATAGAAGTCCACGCAGCAGGCGTTAACCTCAGAGATCTTCTCCAGATCAATGGAAAGGTAGCTAGTGATGTCTATGGTTGTGAAAGGGCAGGTGCTCGGGTTGGAGAAAACTGCACACAGTTTTGCGCAGAGGATCGTGTGACGATGATCGGCCGAAATGTCTTTAGATAATACGCGAGATGTCACTGGACTCTTGCGATGAAGATTGCTACAAGTCTGACATTTTCGCAAGCTGCATCTATTCTAGTAGCATTCACAACCGCTTGGTATAGTTTAAATGAGATCAGTTCACTGCAGCCGGGAGAAAATATCTTGATCAATTCTGGTGCTGGTGGAACTGGACAAGTACTTATCCAATTTGCTCAGCTATTGGGCTCTGAAGTGTTTGTAACAGTCAGCAGTGCAAAGAAGAAACGACACCTGATGAAGATGTACGATATTCGAGAAGACCATATTTTCTTCAGTCGAGATGACGCTTTCGCAGATGGAATTATGACAATGACACAGGGCAAAGGGGTAGACATTGTTGTCAATTCTGTTTTTGGAGAGAAACTTGCAGTAACTTGGGAATGCATAGCACCATTTGGTAGAATGATAGAGATCGGATGGGAGACATTTTTTTCGCGTGGGAAACTTGACATGTATTCTTCTGCAAGGAATACCATGTTTGCAGCCGTGAATCTCGATGATATGGCAGCGCAAAGACCTCTGATAATGTCGAATCCCTGTCGCAAGATCATGGAGTTGATAGCAGAAAACAAGCTGCGACCTTTCAATTCTCTAGAGGTTTTATCGATCTCGGACCTGAGGAAGGTTCTTAGAGCATTGCAAGGCGGTAAGCATATTGGAAAGATGGTCGTTGAGTTCGAAAGAAAGCGAAAGTTCTGGTATGCATTATCTTCTTTTTGTATATGAGAAATGCGAGGCTAATTTTTGAGTAGACGTCGTTGAAATCTAGACCAAGTTACGCGATGGACCCGAATGCAACATACTTGGTGACTGGTGGGCTGGGTGGTTTAGGTCGTAGTATCGCTTACTGGTTGGTAGCCAGCGGCGCACAAAATTTTATTCTGGTATCAAGATCAGGGCCTCAAAAAGACGAGGCACAAAAATTACTGATCGAGCTTAAAAGCCAGGGGGTTCGGGTCGAGATCCCACAGTGCGATATAACAGATCTGGCGTCATCACAAAGCATGATTGATGAATGCGCATCAAAGATGCCACAATTACAGGCTGCTTTCAAGCCGCAATGGTACTCAAGGTATGTAACAAATTTTAATCGCTTCAAGCTTAGTAAAAACTAACAATATGCAGGATACTCGCTTCGTCAATATGAAATTTCAAGAATGGGAGCATTGCGTCAACCCCAAGGTTTCAGGATCATGAAATCTACATACTGTTCTGCCCCAAGAGATGTATTTCTTCATCCTCCTTTTATCAACTGTTGGAATTATCGGACATGTGGGTCAGTCCAATTACGCAGCGGGAAACACCTACCAAGACGCCCTCGCACAATTCCGTCTATCCAATGGTGAGAAAGCGACCGCTATTGACCTGGGTGTTGTACTGGGTGCGGGTTTTGTAACCGAAACCCCTGGCGTAAGGGAGACACTCCAACAAATTGGGTCAATTCTACCGCTTGATCTAGAAAAGCTTTTCGCACTCTTCGACCTCTACTGTGACGTGATATTGCGATTTCAATCGCCAATACACAGCCAAGTCATCACTGGCCTAGGAATTCTTTCCCAAATTATTGCAGAAGGTAAAACAGTTCCTTCCTATCTTTACGAGCCAATGTTCCTCCCCTTGCACCAAATGAATGCACTCAGCAAAGTATCTCAAGATGCAAACGAAGCGGGTCCAAATTATAAGAACATCCTTGCCGCTTGTCTCACAATTGCGGAGGCCGGGCTTCTAGTAGCTATTGCTTTACGCTCGAGTTTATCAAAGATTTTAGGCATACCAGAAGATGATATTGAGTTGAGGAATCGGGTGGAAAGTTACGGAATAGATTCATTAGCAGCGGTGAAATTACGAAGTTGGTTCGGGCGGGAGATGGGGGCGGGTCTGGCGGTGTTTGAAATTCTTGGGGCCAAATTTTGGCAGTAGGTTTGACGGTGGCGACCCAAAAGTTCATTTCGAAAGAACTGAGTGAACAACTGTGTGATTGTTTAATCGATTGGCCTAATATATGTTGGAAATTGTCGGTATCCACGGCCACATAAGAGCACTCAAGTGCTCACACTAACAGCCGCGTAAGATTGCAATTGTAACTTCGAGCCTTTCGTGGCTCATCACTACAAATTCTGCAAACATCGTGAAAGTGACCAAAATATCCTACAAGCACTAGATTGTGAACGATAATGGTATGTGCTGGCTTTCAATTAATGATACCTATACAATCGCTGCTCCTCAATGGTGGATGCACTTTCATGAATATCTATAGAAAGAACTTTCAATCAGCAAAACAGCTATCGAACCATGATAGATATGAAGTGGACTACTTCCCGAATAATTACGAATATTTTCAATGTAATGAATGCAATGCCAAATAGAAGGAAAGCAAAAGAGTTGAAAGGGGCAAAGCAGTATCGCAGGTGGTGACTGTTGAGGGGAAACTACCAATCAATGATATCTTTCACCCCAAGCGAAGTAATCACAAATGTTTACCTGTGAGATATTATGAAACGTTGCTTTGCAATTGACAACGATACAGGAAGTCAAGATGGTTTTGGATTCAGCACAGCGAATGAAATTCGAAAGGATGATACGGAAGGAACCAACAATACTAGTGCTGTATTTGGGTGCAGTCACGTGCTTTCGCGAAGTTTAGACGCGTTCAACATTCAACCCTCTCTCTCTATCGCCACGCCACATCAAGAAATCTAATAACATCAAATTGCAAATCCGCGACCACAATTTGATTAAAACAATAATTTGGGTGTTTAAAGTGTCACAGCAGTGCGTTCAGGACATAGGACCTGTTTAATCGACGACATAATGATAACGCCACCGAGTGAAAATGAGACTGTTAACGCGCAAGCAGAGGCGCGAACCTCAATTCCTCTCGCAGGGAAAAAGAGGATTGGACTTGCAGGTACTCCTCAATCAACGGATCGGCTCAAACAAGCTTTTCATGTCACATCGGGCGAAGATAAGGAGAATGCTCCTCCTTCGACACAGAGAGGACGATTATATGGCGGAACTCCTCAATCCGTCGATAAATTAGTAAAACCATTCCGATGTCCTGGTTCAGCGACGATAACTCGAGCTTCTGTAAAGCCCGCTCGAAAGCGGCGAAAGGTTGATTATGGAGGTGCAGATGGCGAGACGGAAGATGGAGATAAACCTTGGACAAATGAGGATCGACTAGCTCTTGCGAATAGAGAATCAAATAAGTTTCCTGTTTTCCAAGTCAAGGATAAGGATACTATGTTTAGGAAACGATTTTCGGTACCATTGATAAACAAAGATGAAGGAGGGTATAATCCTAATCGACCGCCACCAACACTTGGACTGAGACAGGGAGCGGTGTTTGTTGCGAAACCTTTACACGACCCTAGTGGCGAGTTTGCGATTGTTCTTTATGACCCTACGATTGATGAGAAGCCCAGGAGTATAGAACAAGCCAAAAAAGAGGAAGAAGATGCGAAGAATGAGACCGAGAAGAAGGATGGCGAACCCGAGAAACCGGTACTGAAATTGGACGCCCCATTGGCACATAAAAGTCTGGCGGAGATACTGGGGATAAAAAAGGTTGTGGAAGGTGAACGGCCTAAGGTTCCGGTTGTTATTGATCCCCGACTCGCAAAAGTTTTGCGACCTCATCAAATTGAAGGTGTCAAGTTCATGTATAGATGCGTCACTGGTATGGTGGATGATAGGGCGAATGGATGCATCATGGCAGATGAGATGGGTCTGGGAAAGACTCTACAATGCATTACTCTTATGTGGACAATGTTGAAGCAATCTACCGATGCCGGGAAACCTACTATCAACAAGGCAATCATTGCTTGTCCGTCGAGTTTAGTCAAGAATTGGGCGAATGAATTGGTCAAGTGGCTAGGTCCGGATGCCATCCAACCATTTGCGATTGATGGCAAAGCTTCAAAGGAGGAACTTATCCAGCAATTACGACAATGGGCTATAGCTAGTGGTCGATCCATTACAAGGCCAGTTATCATTGTTTCTTATGAGACTTTACGACTTTATGTTGATGAACTCAAGCATACTCAAATCGGACTGATGTTATGTGACGAAGGTCATCGTTTGAAGAATGGAGACAGCCAGACATTTGTAGCATTGAATAGTCTCAATGTTACTAGGAGAGTTATTTTATCTGGAACACCAATACAGAATGACTTGACAGAATATTTCTCCCTGGTCAGCTTTGCCAATCCAGGTCTTTTGGGAACTCGAATGGAATTCCGTAAAAAATATGAATTACCAATTCAACGTGGTCGAGATGCGGCTGGTAGCGATAAAGATCGACAAAAGGGAGACGAATGCATCAAAGAACTTCTCAACGTCGTCAACAAATTTATTATTCGCCGAACAAACGATATTCTTTCCAAATATCTACCGGTCAAATATGAACACGTCGTTTTCTGCGGTCTCGCACCCTTTCAACTCGATTTATATAATCATTTCATCACTAGTCCAGACATCAAAGCTCTTCTGAGAGGAAAAGGAAGTCAACCTCTCAAAGCCATCGGCATGCTCAAGAAGCTCTGCAATCATCCTGATCTTCTGAATCTTTCCGAAGACCTTCCCGGATGTGAACAATACTGGCCCGAAGACTACGTTCCAAAAGATGGCCGCGGTCGCGATCGTGATATCAAACCTTGGTATTCAGGAAAGATGCAAGTTCTCGACCGCATGCTTGCACGCATCCGTCAAGATACCAATGATAAAATCGTGCTAATCTCCAATTACACACAAACCCTTGACATGTTTGATAAATTATGTCGAAGCCGCGGCTATGGATCTCTACGTCTCGACGGTACCATGAATGTAACGAAGCGTCAAAAGCTAGTTGACAAATTCAACGATCCGAATGGTCAGGAATTTGTCTTTTTGCTAAGTAGTAAAGCCGGAGGATGCGGTCTCAATCTCATCGGAGCCAATCGACTTGTCCTTTTCGATCCCGATTGGAACCCAGCTGCTGATCAACAAGCTCTCGCTCGAGTGTGGCGTGATGGCCAAAAGAAGGATTGTTTCGTATATCGCTTCATCGCCACTGGTACCATTGAAGAAAAGATCTTCCAACGTCAATCCCATAAACAATCGCTTTCATCCTGTGTTGTTGATTCTGCCGAAGATGTCGAAAGACATTTTAGTCTGGATTCTTTGAGAGAATTGTTTCAATATAGGAAAGACACGACGAGTGATACTCATGATACGTTCAAATGTAAACGTTGTAAGCCGGATGGGAAACAGTTCTTAAAGGCCCAGGCTATGATGTATGGTGATACAAGTACATGGAATCATTTTGTTAATGCAGGGTTGGGAACAATACAGGATTTGTTGTTAAGACAGGAGTGTGGAGATGAGGATGTTAGTGCAGTATTCCAGTACATAAGTCATTAGGAGAGGGAAGTTGAGTGTATAGGGTTATGGGACTGGAACGGATGCTGGGTGTTTTTTGATGCACGGAATTGGAGCATACTTTTTTTGTCATCCTTAATTTTGTTTGGGAATTCAACGACGACTCGGAGGGAATTAAGCTCCTTTGTAGTATTTTCTCGAGCGGGCGTTTTGGCATGATAATGATAGACAGAAGCGATTATAGTACCTAGAATACTTATATGATTTTGATTTTCAATTCTCTCGACCTCCTAAAATCACTGACTGCTTCATTTGCTATCCAAATATCTCACACATATCAAAATAAGAGTCAAAGGTCAACAGTAAAAACCCCTCCAGTATTGTGTCTACTTGTATACCTACCTAGTCAAACTCCCCTCGCACACCTCAGGATCACCAGATGCTCAATCATCGACATTAAAATCAGCATTAAGAAACTGTCCAATTTCAAACGGCATATCACAGCCCTCAGATTTTATCACAAACTCACATTACCTCAAAATAGAAGTACAGAGATAACACAATCCCATATTCCTCACACCCAAGTTTCATACGTGCTCCTTCCAAGTTCCAACCACATTATACGTAAGAAGTTATATATCAGATAACTAATTCGAAATTTACAATTTACAAACATCCACCGGTTCTATTCCCTACATATCCTAGCTTCTCCTCCTCATCCTCCTCCTCTCACAATTCCACCTTCAAATCTTCAAACCACAAACCCTACCATATCACTTCTTCGCCACTATTAACTGAATCAGAAAAGCCAATCACTTACTAGATAGATAGATAAATACTCACCCATCAAAACTTTAGCCACATCACAATTCATCACATTACATTAGTAGAAACAATGATTACACCACTATTTACACCATTACTACCACTACCATTACCACTACCACTATCAAATGGATACACAGGTGCATACTTCTATAAATACTGTCATAAACACACAAATCCATACATAAATCCATACCCCTCATCTTCATCTCCCTCTCCTCTTACAAATACAAATACAAGTTACAACCCCACCATATCAATGTATCTTTGTTTCTTTCTAGTACACAACCATCATATCGTCTTTTTCGAACTCAAAATCGACCTCCTACGCCCCTTTTTTAAAAAAAATAAAATAAAAAATCTTTAAAACTCCAAGTTTACATGCACATGCACATGCACATACGTATATACATAAATGAAATACCCCATACTTCCACTCTACCCCTCCACATCTCCACATCTCAGCTCCTCCAGACATCACTTCCCAAAATACACAGCGAAATACATGTTGTGTATCTCCGTGGCGTGCGTATGAAATCATGAGCAAGTTATTTCCTGCCGTACCACATACCACATCCAGCCTCGATATAAGATACCTAGATTACCGAGTCGTACACCCGATGAGACATTGTACAAATGACCTGCTTTACCCATCAATGCAATGCAAAACATTTGCGTTACCATTACGAATGCCACGTATTCACCAAGAAAAAATTGCAGTATCATGAAGAGTCTCTGTATTGCATACATACTAATCATATCTCTCCGGTTAGAAGAGAAAAGTAACTGCCTGGCAATATATAATTCTTTCAAACCGAACCATTTGAACAACCATATCAATACCCATGTATAAACGAGATTCCATGCACGATGAAAGAATGAAGAGAAGTGTCCAATGTTGAATTGGGACATCATCTGAAAATGAAGAGAGAATCGCACACTCGCAAAGTCAATACCGAGTCCTAGTGCCGAAAGAGAACAAACATATGCGCAATGACGGCCACCCAGTTGAAATCCATGCTTAACGCTTCGAAGCGTATATTGCTGATTTACGTCGAAGAAGTCAAAAGATATATTTCTTGTTGCTGAGATGACGGGTAGGTGGGAGGTAAGGAAAGGGGTGATGATCGATTGATCAGCAATACTCCTTTTCGTGGAGGATTCGAGGCTTTTTGACCATCTAAAGAACGATTGGAATGGCAACGCAGCTGTTGGTGAGAACATTGATTCCACCCTGTGTACCACCACTGTTAGAATCGTCATCGCAATCGGGCTAGCCATGTAAGATAAAGAAATGTAATAAAGAATAGAGAAGACTTACGCTGGTATCGCCACCGTTCGAATTACAGCAGACGGGTGCGGAGTTGCATTTGCCTCCGAGAACGACACCAAGGATCGGAATTGGGATTTCGGCGCCTGTTATTGTCATTAGCAAGGACTTCTGGACCAGACGAGACAATATTTATAGATTGGTGAACTCCAACGGGTTAATAAAATAGAACATACAGTTCAATCCCAATAGATTGCCCAAAATACCATCACCTCCAGTAGTGACAGATTGGCAACATGAGAGTGTTTGACCTTGAGCACAGGTTTGACCTCCACCACGAGCGAAGATAGTTGATTCCGTAGTGGGAATAGCAACGACCATGGCGGCCAAAGAGAGAACAACAGTGGCGATAGTGAAACGCATTTTGATTGTTGGAAGGATGTTATTGGCTTGAGTCGTTGATTTCAAAGCGAATGAATATGAGCAAAAGTGTTTGTATGAAGCGAGGTTGTTCAGCAAAGTCAAGCAAATGTGAGTTGATGAGTTGATGAAAAAATGAGATGCAGAGGAGAAGTATGAGACCTTATATACGAGAGCTTGTCTCATCAAAGTAACACTGGAAAATCGAGGCAAGAGCTGTCGCCCCCAGTAGACAGTCTTATGGACTGCCAAGAGGCCGAAATGTTGAAAGGAGTAGGTGCGATTCACAAGCGAGATGGGACAAAGGAGATGGCATTGTGTATTCACACTACGGAGGAAAGAGCTTTCACGTCACTAGAAAAACGCCAATCGTCCTTGATGCCTGTTATACCGTCTCTTTCCGGAACTGCGTATTCCTATCCTGATTTTTTATGTGAATCATTAAAATGAGCATGTTTCTCACATAAAAAAGGAATGAGCCATCGTGAGCCATCATGGCAGAACGTGATCTTGTGTAAGAGTAAAAGTGAAAACAACCCGCAATTGGCCAAGAGAATTCGATGGATAGGGAAAGGCCAAGTTAAAAGTTTCCATGTGACGATGTACTACATCAATACCGAACTTTAGATAGAGTCAATTTTGCCACGTTACGATATTGCATACACTTGAATAGGAAGAGTCAACAAGCAACAACGATGGATCGTCGGAGTCTTCATAGGTCCCCGTGAAATTAAGCTGAAATTGTACATCATAGATAGTGGCTGGGGGGACACTGAAGCACAGAACGAAGGAGAGAATAGATACATCTACGAGGCTGATAATCTGTAGAGCGTGTGATGCTAAATTGCCATAATCCTCCGATGAATGCGCCACACTAAGATAACTCCAATTATTCGATTCCATAACTATCAAAGTCAATTCGCCACTGAAATTCGGTAAGGTGAAATTTTCGCAGAACATGTAGCTAGATATTCAAAGATTATGCAGACCTCCCTTGTCTCCTTTCAAGTATCATGTGTGCCAGAAATGCGAAAGAAGTACTTATTCCAAATATGAGCCTAGTTTGGGTTCCAAATGGTCCACCAAACGCCAATATTGGCCGCTATGATTAGATCTAACATCTTCAAGCCTTCATCATGGATGATAAGTTTTCCAAGTTTTGCACGCTTGCCTCTATTCCCACCACCGGCCTTTTCCTGTCCAATACTAAGGTCCAGCCGATCGTCATTATCATTCGAGATTGTCAGCTCGTCTAAGAAGTCATTTAATCTTTGTGTCAAGGGCGGAGAGTCTTCTTCAAATGATGAGTTGATCGAGGAAGGTCTAGGTGGTAGATGGGAAAGATCCGTCCCATCACTTGCGTATGGGATAGCATGAGACGTTTGATGCAGCTGAGTTTCAGATGGATGGTGAGGGCTAGACTTAGATAGTCTTTTACGGAAACTTCCTAGTTTTCGTGTGAGCTTAGTCGACCCACTCTTGACTTGAGCTGCAGCCAAGTCCATCTTCTCTCTATCGAATAAATCTGAACTTGGTAAATTGAAGCGAAGTTCGCTCACAGTTACAGAGCTTGACGAAGAGGCGGTGGAATCTGCGGAGACTGGGGCTGGTAGCTTGTGTAGACAACGTAAGGACCGGCCAGCGCCACCGGTGGAGAAAGTGCAGGTACCTCCCCAAGGACTTAAGAACGTGTAACCCTTGGCGCGAGAATTTTCGGACCCATCTGCGGACCGATTTTCTGGATCAGATTCCTGCGGACCTTCCGAGCTGCCGCTGTTATTTCTGCTGTGATTTGTCGAGAAATCAGATATTGCCCTTCTGTGTTGTTTGAAAGTTTGATTCCATGAACTAGCCCATTCCATCGATATTTGACTGTGAAACCCAGATCCGGAGACCCCAGCCTTTTGCGTCACTGATGTGGGACTTCATTTCCGGAGGGTTGGAATCTAGCTCCTTGTGACTCCCGATTTTGAGCTGTACCACCGAGCTTGTTATTGCCTATCGGGTGAGTATGATTGCGGAAATAGGTATAGCCTGGCGTTGTGATATGCACAGAAATGTCATAGTAAGGTTTTTTAGTTGCCGTCATCCCTACAGTGGGAGGATTTGATTTTCCCTCAACTATGCCGACATTCCATTGGGCGCCCGAGGTTGGATCTCGTCGAATGATGGTTATCGAAAATGCCTTCGCAGAATCGTCAACTGGTTTGGGTCTTTCAAACATCGTATGGCTACTTTGAGGCCGGTGTGATGTTTCCAGATCATTGTGAATAGGACTGCCAATCTGAGAAGACTCTGGAGTGAATATCGAATTTTGAGGCATTATTTTCGTGAGAGGCTTTCTGTTGACGGTATTTGATCGCGCCATAGAAGGATGCTGACCTACGACCCGCCGAGAACTACCTGCTTCTGCTACCATTGGCTTATTGGCAACGTTGTCACGCGGGGACACGATGTCATCGTGTCCCGAAGTATCATCCTTCTGGATATCTAGCGTAGGTGCTTGGTGTTGTAGGCGCTCTAAATTCAACACACTCTGCCTATCAATATCCAAAGACTGGGCCCTAGAGCCATCAGGTAGAGGTTTGCGGGGTAAAGTCTTTTTAGACAGTGCCCGGGAGGGAATCGGCTGCTCTTCGGGTAAGAGTTGGGCATCCTCATCCGAATTTAGATGTAAGTAGTATAAAGAGTTTGCGACATCTTCGGATGTGACATTCTTGAGTAGTGGTTTCAAGGTTGTAAGAATGATATCTAGAAAACATGGTCAGCTTTGACGATGTACGACCTATATGCATGCAAACGCACCATTGCTACCAGGTACTCTGGCGATATAGAGAACTAGATTGGCCCTTTTCTGCTCGGTTGGATTTCGTGGATACTTCGGAGGGTTTCCAGCAAGCTGGATCAGACCAGAAAGCGAGTTTGCTTCAACAAAATCTTGCGGAGACATATTTCGCCGGCGATTTGAGGTGTACGATGGGACTGGACCGAAAAAAAGAGAAGGGAAGCTCTTCTTTTTACACTCCTGTTCCTTTGAAGTGAATCAATCACACACAACCAGGAAGGCAAAGCAACAGATTCGGCAGATTAAAGTTTGGGATTATTGACAAGAAGCGGATTGGAGAAGCTCAGCCTTCTTGGAAGAGAATTTTGTTTTGTAGGTTTTCGATTTATTACGCTTTTTGCTATATCACTTTGATATTGGGCAGCCGAAAATGTACCCCAGATACCTATGTCAGGGAGAGATGGTGGGTATCTGGAACTGGGGTCGCATATGGCGAATGAGGAAGGCTGATATGCTGATGGGATGAAAAAAGAGCTGGCGTAACAAGGAATCGCAGAAACTTATAAAGATTGAGAAAGTTATCAAAGATGTAGCGGTGATAATGATTGCCACGACATCATATAGCTGATCCACATGTTGCTTGGGGCTACCCAGGTATGTTGAGATAAAGAAAATAAATACTTAGATGAGACTTTTATATTGAAATCCTTGATTCTTGGACTCCTTGTGCTATTCCAAGCAAATAATTTATTTGGCTGGGTCGATCAGATCATCTGCTGGCGGGTCACCAAGAAATCCCAACCATAAGATTGACTTGCAGCTTTGCACTGCCACAATGTCAATTGAGATGTACCGACGAAATGTGTGAGGCTGGTGTATGAGGCTGAGATTTTTGACTTTTCTTTTTTCTGCCCTTGACTTCACTTTACCTAGGTAGGCACGAGTGTGTACCAGGGAGGTACTTGAGTCTTGTAGGTAGAGGTAGAGAGTCCACTCACTCCTCACTCACCTTGCCCGCTTCGCCCGCTTAAAATGGATATTTCACCCAAAACCCCATAAATACGACCCTTGATTGGTACGAAGTGGCCAATTAAAATCCATCAAAAGTTCGTGCACTAGGAGTTAAGAAATCTCGAAAAATTAATTTTGGCTCGGATTATCGTACAGAGGGAGAAGAAGAAAAGCTTCATACTTTTTTACTACAATTTCAATCATACCTAGGTACCATACAAACACGGAACAACTTTTGTGATAGTTGTGTTATTTTGATTGCATTAGGATCAAAAGATATAGCATTTACTTAATTCAAGTTTTATCTTACTTGTATTCATATTGTGTCTCATTTGTCATTGGTAAAAGATGGCAGAGAGTACTCTTCAAGTTTGTCTTCCTTTCCCCGCCTTTCCTATTTATCCATTAACCATTTTTTCACAGGACAGACTGCGTGAGCATGCAGAGGCATTCGATGGATTGCTATCCTTGATTCCAGCAAAATACTACTATGCCGAAGATACCAGTGTATGTTGAAAATTCATCTTGGTTTCAATTGCTAGTGCCACAATGCTGATTGCCTTTCCAATACAGGATCAATGGAAAAAGAAGAAGCAAACTAAGCAACAAGCTGCCGCTGCAAGACGCGCAAAGCTTGACCCAGATTCTGCAAAGACCGCAAAGGATGTCATGGATGAAAGAGCAAAGAAAAGAAAATTGGAAGAGTCTGAGGATGTTGAAGAGGGCTCCGAAGTGGAGGGTATTGAAAAAGAATTACCCAAACAAGGATTGAAAAAGGCCATCGAGAAGCCAGCAAAGAAACTGAAGACTGATGCTGAATCCACAAAAGAGACATCCAAATCTGCGACGCCAAAAGACTCTACATCCAAGAAGGGTTTGACACCAGAAGAAGAGGCGGCAAAGTTGGAGAAGAGAAACCAGAAAGAGGAACAGAAGAAGGCAAAGGCAGCCAAGAAGTCAGCTAAACAAAAGGCAAAGAGGGAGGAAGCTGCCAAACAAGTCGTCGAATTACCAACCGAAGACACTCCTGCTAGTGAGTCGACTACAAAAGATGATGTGGCTGAAGAAGTGACCAAGGACACTGCCACTAACAAGACCCTTACCAAAAAGACAATCGAGCATGAAATTGCGGCCGATGAGGAACCAGAGCATGATCACGAAATTGGCCATTTCGAAGCTGAAGGTCTAGAGGAGCCTGAATCTACCAAATCATCGCCGCCATCCTCTACTTTCTCCGCAACAAACGAGGACAATGCCAGTGGAGGTACATCCACATCCTCTACTATCCCTCCTACCGCCCCTCCTAAGCACATCACCATTCCAGCCGACTCCGAAGCTCTCCGTTCTAGATTAGCAGCTCGCATCGAAGCCCTACGAGCTCAACGTAAAGCAAACAATCCCGATGGTACCCCCGTTCGCAACCGCCAAGAACTCATGGACCAACGTCGCAGAAAGGAAGAGCAACGCAAAGCCCACAAAAAAGAACTCCGACTCCAAGCCAAGATCGACGAAGAGGCTAGACGAGAAGCCGCTTTGGTATCAGCACGAAGTAGTCCAGCAGGAAGCTTGCTCAGCCCTCTAATTCGCTCACCCGAAAACAATTTTGCTTTCGGTAGAGTCGCATTCGCTGATGGACAAAGTCTCAATGAAGATTTGACCGCCCTCAAATCCATACCAAAAAAGAAGGGTCCACAAGATGCCAATAGTGCACTTGCCGCAGCAGCCAAGAAACAATCTCGACTAGAAGCTATGGATCCCGAAAAACGTCAAGATATCGAAGAGAAAGAACGTTGGTTGATTGCGAAAAAGCGCGTCAATGGTGAGAAAGTTCGAGACGATAGTTCGTTACTGAAGAAAACCCTCAAGAGAAAGGAGGCCGCGAGGAAGAAGAGTGAAAAGGAATGGGGTGATAGGATGGATGGTGTCAAGAAGGCAACTCATATGAAGCAAAAGAAGAGAGAGGAGAACCTCAAGGCTAGGAGAGATGGAAAGGGCGGAAAGGGAAAGAAGGGTGGAAAGGGTGGAAAACCAGCTGGTGGTGCAAAGAAGAAGAGTAGGCCGGGCTTTGAGGGTAGTTTCGGAGGTGGAGGAAAGAAAAAATAAAGGCTATCGTGACATGACGTTCTGTTAGGGTTTTGATTAGGTGTTTGGGAGTGAGGATAGGAAAATTATAATAGAGGATGTGGTGGTTGGTAGGTAGGATAGGAAAGGAAAGTGATAGTGAGTGTCACGTCTATGGAGTAGACTGACCAGAAGAAGAATCATTCTCATCCAGCAAAATGGATGCATGGATGATGGAATTGTACTTACTACATTGGTCACGAGAGAAATCATCTACAATACCATCTACAATAAACGTTTTTGTAAAAGACAATTAATTTGGTGAACAACTGAATCCTTATTAAAACATCTTATAATTAAAATAGCTTGGAATCTCATCCCATCCTATCTCATCCTATCCAACTCGATTCAACCCAACTCAACACAACCTAAAAGAGAGCAAACAAACAAGCTCAATTCCCATATAAGACTCACCATCACTGTCTTCCTCATAAACATAAAGCAGACTCTCCTAAAGTAACCCTGTTCATAAAGTATCCTGAATCTTTGAGTCCAAGATTCAAGAAGTTTTATATATAACTCTTGGTTTGCAAATTTGGGGGTCTTGTATACAGATAGGTAGGGAGCGATCATATATACACTATTACATTGGTCTAACTATTTATTTGTCCAGTTGTTTGTTCACCCATGCAGCGGTTGATTTGCAATGGGATTTGAAATTAATCATGGTGTAGTTCCTATTACTGTATGCAGTCTCTAGACAGTATATAGATATAAACAGAGAGATAGTATTCCAGAGAAATAGTATACACGCAGACAGTATATAGACAGTACTTCAATTAACATCTACTAAACTATCGTTGATACTTCCCTCTCTCCCCTCTCTTCCCTCTCTTCCCAACCCTTTTTTTGATTAAATCTATGAAGTCTATTACGCCTATCAAGTCTGTTTACTTTCTCAATACTAACCGTTAGCAATCGACTATCAACTATCCACCACCAACCATCAACTAATCGCAAAGCAAACTCCCTCTTCCTCCCTCTCCCCTCTCCCCTATCATCTATTTATTCCCCAGCAATCTATCTATCTATCTGTCTATCTATCTATCTATCTATCTATCTATCTATCTATCTATCTATCAAGAATGAAGGGGGAGAGGAAAGCGAAGAAAACGACAAGAAGATACGAGAAAAAGATATTCAGAAGCAGAACCACAACCACCATATCACTCACACCAAGTATCCTCATCCTCATCTTCACCTTCATCCAACATGTAAAAAAATCTAATAATCTGTTTAAATTCTGCTATTACAACAAGATTCCAAAGGTACATAAGGTAAGGTAAGGTAAAGTAAAGTAAGGTAAGATGTGATTTTCCTTTTTCTTTTACAAGAAAATCCCCACCCATTTGCAAATCCGATGATCATGCATGCCCAAGTTCGTCATCTCTTGAATCTTGATCTTAATCTTCATTTTCCTCCCTTACTTCGTACCGTATCTGTAAATACATTTCCTGGCGCCCGCCCAGATAAGAACAGATGAGTGAAACTACTAGGTGAACTTTTCCCTTTCTCTTTCCCCCATTTCCTTCACGAACAAAGAGTCTAATATTCCGACTCCCCTACTCCTCCTCCCCTTCCAATTGAACGAAAATGAATGATGAAGCGGTGGCATAGCAAAAGATCTCTTTGTGTGTGTGTGTTGTCATATTTTGTAATTTTCCCTGCTCCATCATAAAAGTGACATCGAGATGCGGCCCACTTCCGCCTTGTGTATGAGATCGTGGATCGAATTGCATGTGTGAGAAATAATTATAGCAAAGAGTCCAAACGGGTAAAGACACTTAAACATGCTGCAACGACTTCGAGTTGTAGTTCTTTATCCTTTCCATTGTTTACTTCCTATTTGCATGGTATTAGTATACGTAATGTTAGAAAGGGATGCATGGACAGGGGTATGGGTGAATAGACGATGATACATACATCAGTAATAACCTGTCCCAAATTTGCACCTATTCCTGCTGAGCCTCCTGCTCTCTTTCCAAATGGCCATTGGCTATATTCTGCCAATAACTCATCAACTTGAGCAAATGCTCGTTCTCTGGATTCGTGACCGAGTGATGCGAGGGCATTCTCTAATACGTTGGCTGCATAGGCAGCACATACCATGGCAATTGTTCTGACATATCTAAATTCGAGGTTTTCGGGGAGAAATTGACTGCCTGGGAGTACAACGGTTCGTTGTGTAAGGACGTTTCGGACTCTTCTTCTGATTTCCTCCTTTGCTCCGCCGTCTGCTACGGGATGTGTCGCCATATCGAATAAAAGGAAGTTTCTCTTTTCGGTTCTTAGAATGCCCTTATCGACCAATCCTTTAGCCAATCGTTCTCTGACTTGTTTCAATTGATATCCGATTTTCATGAGATTCCATGTCTCGCCTGGTAGATAATGTTAATGTTGAGATCTTAAGATGTGCGGAATTGCGATTTCTTACCACTCATCAAATCGATCCATGAACTGACACTCATCTTCTCACTCGCTTTCATCATTTTGAGCGCTTCATCCAATAAGACTTCGCCTGTCAAAGTATCATCGATAACCTCAATTACTCTGTCTGCTAAAGGGAATCGCCGCCTCGAGGAATCCTTCTGCATGCTCACTCTCCCTCTGAATGCCAGCTCAATGACAATGCATCCACGAAGCGCATATGATATGTTGTCATTCCAGAATGAAAGATAACCCTACACAACGACATTAGTATCAATCGCTGAAGCGCAAACCACCACCTGTTCAGATCAAGCCACCTACTTGCTTATCCTTCAATCCCAGCAACAAAACTTCCTCCATTAACGTCAATTTAGGTTGTTTGCTTCTCTCTGCACTTTCGTTAATGTCTCTTGGGTCAAAGGCGATTTTGTGTCCATTCTCTCCGCTCTCATATGATGTTTCTGGGCCGCTTGTATCGCGAGAATTTCCGGCCTTGGGCGCCGGTGATGCAACACGACTCGATTCTCCATTTTCTGTATCGCCAGCTCCTCCTCCGCCACCTCGTCTGCGTGTGAGTCCAGAAGACATTGCGTCGTATCGCGAAATCGATTATACTTGTAGTATTTGATGTATGAGTAGGGGATGTCGTAAGAATTAAGCAAAGGGGGGTGGATTTTTGTCCTCTTTGCAGTGAGACAGCGGCGTTACCGCTCACAAAAGCAATTCCGCCAGTAGAATATCCTATCTTCTGTCGATAAATTAATTGATATCGAAGTTCTAGATTCTTGACTTCGTTCTTTTTCGTATCAATAGTAAAAAAGTGGGCGGGGCAATTGTAGTGTCTTGTAGGTTGAATTGTTCTGTAGAGCTTTGAGGTGCGTGGATGAACAGGGATAGCGCAATCAGAGGACGCTAATATTTTATAGAGGAACTTCTTTGACTGGGGAAGTGGGAGATTATTATGATGGTTCGGAGAGAAAGTTCTTAGTGAAAAGAATGATTTGAAACATATCCAAACTTAATGTATCTTCATGTTTTAAATTTAAGAGGGGAACATAAAGGTTTGTTGAGTAAGATGATCTAAACATTTTTACAGGCGCATAGAATCACATCACTTCTATGAACGCATCGAAGCTCGTACAAGTTTCCCCTCCCTTGTATCGCCGCCCGTTCACCACTTGTATTTCTCATTCCTGGCCCATGAATCCCCCATTGCCTTACTTCAATCTTGACCGTCTCCATATTATACAATTCCATGATCTAATGAGCTGTAAAAGATGTTAGCTATTGTGTTTGCCTTTGTGGAATATTGCAAGAGACTCACCATCTGGTTGGTGGAGAATATACTCGACGGCTTGGTCAACTATGGAGTTTGTTAGATAATTGCGCTGTTGAATGTTCCCACCAAGACGACATACCACTGAGAATAGCATCTGCGTCCTTGTCTGGGATCTCAATGCTGAATTCCTGTGATCGCATCAGTCTCTAGTTCCCCACTGTGAATACCTTGTACAAACCTCCTCAATAGCCATAACAACCTCTACAGTGTCCAAGCTGTCCAACCCAAGATCATTCGAGAAGTGTGCGCTTGCAGAAAGCTATTCAATGTCAACCATGACGTTCAAGCCGTCTTCCCTATCATATATCATACCTTCGTTGGGTCCGAAACCTACAGATCAAATTAGTACATTTCCAGTCAGACATCATTAAGCATACTTACTTTGTCGAAGTTGCCCAGTAAAGAAAGGATTCTGCCCTCAACTTCTCCCTTGTTAAGACTGGCGGCTGCGGAGTAGCATCTTGCAGCTTGGAAAGCTGATGGGGCGAATTGAGATTTTGTGATGAAAGAACTTTGGTTGATAGGACGAGCAATTGCTGCAGGTCTTTGGACAGCTTTGCTAGCAGCGCTGCGGGCTGATCTGAGAAGGGCGGTTCTGAACATCTTGATATGTGGAGAGGATTAGAAGTGACGTCTGTGGATAATACAGTGGTAGATACGAATTTGACGATAGAGATGCTTCCCAGAATGTTTAGCTTTAGCGTATTTTGGATTCACGTGACAAAGAGTGCGCCGACGAGTTTGATGGAATTACGTAGAGTAATTTTGATTGGTACAAATTCAGTTTGAAATGGTAAATTGTATCTTGAAGACTATATTCAATCTATACTACCGTTTCAAAAATATAAAAGGAAGTGGTGGCGTATAATAGAAGCTTTCAACTTTTGGCCAATCACAGAAAGTCATTTCGAAATCAAGTCGTAAAGTTCCGTCAACCCTCAAATAATATCATATTCAAGTTACAGATCTCCAACAATCCTGCCACGAGCAACCCTTCACAATGGCAACAACAAAGCCCATAACTATGCTCGTGGCGCGCAGTCGTCCATTAACTACTTTGACTGCCTCAACAATTCGCACATTCACACCCGTTGCATCTAGAGCAACTTTCTCAACTTCTCAATTTCGAGGCGCCACCCCAGCCGGTCCTCCCCCGCCCGGCTTCAGACTGCCAAAACCTGTAAGATGGAACGAGAGTAAGGAGAGTACAATGGATAAGGCAGGGAAATACTTTCTCATGTCGGAGTTGTTCCGGGGAATGTATGTAGTACTAGAACAGTACTTTAGACCTCCGTAAGTTATGCCATTGAGTCTCTCAACCTCCATATTGCAGTGGCTAACCACTTGTAGATATACAATTTATTATCCTTTCGAGAAGGTATACAGTTCAAAAATACATTAGGGTGGCAACGAATACTTATAGGATATAGGGTCCAATTTCTCCTCGATTCAGAGGCGAGCACGCTTTACGAAGATACCCTTCAGGAGAAGAACGATGCATTGCTTGCAAGCTTTGCGAAGCTGTATGTTATTCCATTCTAACGAGTAGTGGCGGATTCTCATATAGTTTAGATCTGTCCCGCACAAGCTATTACGATCGAAGCGGAGGAGCGTGAAGATGGAAGTCGCAGAACGACCCGATACGATATCGATATGACAAAATGTATCTATTGCGGATTCTGCCAGGAGAGTTGTCCAGTTGATGCCATTGTGGAATCACCAAACGCTGAATACGCCACTGAGACGAGAGAGGAACTGTTGTACAACAAGGAGAAGGTATGTCTATAATCAAATAACCCGCCGGGTTTGGTTCATCTCTTACTAACCTATTCTACAGTTACTGTCTAACGGAGACAAGTGGGAGCCGGAATTGGCAGCAGCCGCAAGGGCTGATGCACCATATAGATAACCATGTTTTTATTTGTTGCGAGGTGGGAAATTGTACATATCAGAGGTGGTTCTTCAAAATGCGAGTAACTGGACACAGAAATTCCATAATTTGTGCAACAAAACATTTTCCCGTTGGTCTGAATGTCAATTTATGTATTAAAAGAAGTGAACCAAATCTACAAGTGTAGACAAGACACTCTTATCGAAATGTCCACGACATTATCGTAGATGGATCTTGTTAAGACTTGCATGGAGTTGTTCGGCTCACAAATCGATGAAATTTAACTCCGCCCGACGATTTTACTTTCAATTTACTTACTATACGTACCTACCTAGATAGGTATTCATTCTCAAGACTAAGCACTGCTGTCCCAAGTTGTTGAATCCTAGATAAAAATCGCACTTGTGTGGCAAAAATCCCCTCCAGTGCACATCGATCGGGCAAGATCAAAGGCAATATCTGTGTACTCTCAAAATTGCAGTCTCATCTCTAGAGACGAGAAAGGTGCGATTTTTGTTGTGGTGATACGCAAATAATAGAAAGAGGAGGAAGTTGTTGGTGACCTTCAAGAACACAAGTGATAGTTATTCCTTTAATCTTCCATCTCTTCAACACCATACTAAGTTATCTAATCTTGTATGCTTGGAAGTATCTTCATTGCACAGCGCACAATAAACTTAATTCTGTCAACAGTCTTAATCATCCTTACCCTTCTAAAATGGACGGATCCACTGCAATCAATGCGAGTTCTCGTAAAAAGGAATCACCGATTCACATCTCATTTTCTGCCGAGTGCTTCGGGACTCAGTCTGCGCTCAATCATCAGGGATTGAATCATGTCATCGATCTTACAACGCCGTCTCCACCTTTGCTTCTCGAAACCTCCGAATTCGAATATTCGCCAATGTCCAAACCATTTGAAGATACTCGAACCACGAGCCCAACGCTGAACAAGTCAAAAGACACAGTAGCCAAGACCAGTCTCCCTCTTCCACATGACTCTTCACGAGATGTCGCGAACCCAGATCAGTATACAAAGAGAAGAGAGAAGTCCGATCCATTTTTCTCAGCAACACGGCGCTTTTTTTCAGACCCTGTAAAGCAAGCCCTGAACAATAAGGCTGCTGGTGAGTATATAAATCACCAGATATCAAAAAAGAAATGCGAATCTCAATACTCCAGGGATTGTTATCAGAATGAGAAGAAATTGCAGCTCGTTGATGCAATAGATGGTCATCCCCAAACTTGTAGAAAAATTGCAAGACGTTACACTGCGGCATTCAAACACGACATCATAGCAGAGACTTTGATGAGGCATAAGAAACAGTTCGCGGCACTTGATTTAAATGATCAGGCGAGAGTCATAAAATCTCATGCAAATATTGCTCTACCTCATAAGAAACCCATAAGGAGTGAATTCTGGGCGACCGTCATGCAAGCTCCTGCAGATATCAGCAAACCATCTAAGAATCCTCCAAAAAGGAAATCAGAGACATCCCTACAAGATTCTGCAAACCCAATTCCTCCACAGACCCATGCAAGGAAAGATTTTTGGGCAATAGTCATGCAAACATCGGAAGATAAACCTTCTTCTGAAAAAGTTGCGAGAAATAAGTCTTCGGGGCCAACTGTGCGAACTACAAGCTCTACTTCTCGAAAGGAGCGCCTAAGGGAGGAGCCCTTGCTAGCGGCGGTGCAGAATTCTGCACTTTCTACTTCGCCGAGGAAACGTCCGCGGAGAGATTTTTGGGCGGTTTGCTCGGAGTGAGGTAGAGCTTGGTTAGTTGCTGCGTGGGGTGTTGGTTCGAATAGCTCATTTGACTGGTATGGGTAAGCACAGAAGTTTCATTTGAAGGTCTGGCGGGGTCCTGGTTTGATATTCTGGGTTTTGTATACAAGGGTCAAACTCAGGTCAGAGAATAGCATAGCATTATGGTGTCTTATGCGCGGTATTCTTAACATGTCTTGAAAAAAGAACATCCCGTGGCGGAAAGTCATGAAGGGGTAGCGAACCTATGTTAGATAGCGGTATAATATTAGATTCAATGGTTTAAAAATGGATTGTTTTATTTATTTATCTTGAGATGAAAGAGTGTTGTGATTGTTAATGTGATACTGTTCGAATGTAGTAGTCATTCGATGAAACTCTACAAGGTGTGTAATTGAAGATACTATCTCTAAATCTGACCTCTCCATCTGATCTGTAAAAACCTATCTTTCGATCTGCAAACATGGTTTTTCTATCTCTGATTCCAGAGCTAACGCATGGTATGAGACACTAAGTATGCATAATTTGCACCCTGCTTGATTGCTCAAACACTCTTACCACTCAATCAGCAGTTATTACAAACCGAAAAGCACATTCGCCAAGTCCCAAGTCCCAACTTCCTCCATCTACCATCCGAACCCCTCATCGTGCCACCACACCTCCCTACCCTTTTCAACCCACTTCCCTACATGTTCTCTCAACTCCCTCGCCATACCTGTCGGTCCACAAACCAGAACCGCTACTCTCTCCTCCAATCCTTGACAAAAGACTCTATCTACAATCGCGCGCAAATCCGGTCTCGAATATTTCATATCACTAGATGGAGATGCCAAGTTATGCATTTCCACACTTCCAGGTTCACCTAACGAGGTAGTGGATGTGGAAGAAGAAGCACGGGGAGAAGTGATGTATAATTCTATTCCCGGGTTACTTTCGATTTTGAGTTCCGAGTTCTCATTTTGAGGCGAGGAGGAGGAGGACAGTGCCCAGGATGATTCGGCTGCATCTCGCATAACCCAGATCATTCTTACATGACTACCTACTCTACCTTCATTCTCCATTTCTTGCTTTACAGCTCGGTAGATGGGTAAAGTAAAGGTAGCGCCTACGCCACCGGCTACGAGCAATACTCTATCGAATTTCTCGGCTAGATTGGGGAATTTGCGAGAGGTTCCATATGGCCCTTCGATGTTGAGTGGCGGACGGGCTTTGCTGAGATGGGAAAGAGAAGATAGAGCGGATGTAGTGGGTCCGTTGAGAGTACGCATTGTTAGAGTGATTTGTGGTGAAGGAGTTTCTGAGACGGAAGCAACAGTAAAGGGATTGTAGAGTAATTCATAGAGATGACGATTATACTCTGTAGATTTGGGGACGGATGATGGAGGGATAGACAGGTAAACGTGTTGACCTGGAGCATATTGAAATTGGGAGATTTTCGAAGGTGTAATTGGGATAGTGACTTCGACAAGTGAAGTCTCTGGGACTGGCTTTATGATAGCGAAAGCTTTAAGGGTGTTGGATTTGCGAATGCCAAGGTCGATTATAAAAAGAGCAAATGCTTCGAGTATGTAAACACGAAGAGCAGTGGCATGGAAGAATAGAAGAGGAATTATGGCGATGGCGACAAAAAGATGAATGATAAAGAAAACCCGGTAAGACCAACGACGAACAATTGGCAAACTCGTGATGATGAGGAGATTGATGAGCCAGAAAGAAAGTATACCGTAGATGATTATAGGCGTTGTGACTTTCATGTATACAACTCCAATCTGAACCCAAGCGTTTATATACCAGCTGGCATGGCAAGCAAGAAGAGTCCATATGACTCTGCCGGATATTCGGTGCCAGGTGTTGAGCTGCTCATGAGATGATCCGAAGAATACGGAGAGTGGTGAATATAAAGACTTCATGGATAGTGCATAGTGAGCAGGGAATTGTGATGCTGCAACTATACCAAATCGCTTCGTTATGTGAAAGTAATCTGGGAAGATCATTAGTAACTATGTTCAATTGTACAGCATGGGAATTTCCGAGGTCCTAGATAGCCCAACCACAGTTTCACCAATGAGAGGACCTTGACAGCTAAGTATATTTCAAAGACTCGATCCATTTGAGATGGAACAGTGGTTCATTTGGAGGAGGGAGTAATTTGCTTGCAATCTCAAATCTACTCAGATGAGACATCTGCTGTTCTTTGCAAGCCCTCGAGAAGAATTCCCACAAACTCCGATATACAGACAATCCAAGTAACTTTACTTGGACCAGTATACTCAATACACCTCCTCTAATCGACGACAAAAACAAATAAATAATCATACCATCACCCGTCCTATGCACACACAAAAATCCCAACCAAGCCCCCCACATCCCCGCCATAATCCACTGGCCCCTCTCACCCCGACCGGGTGCCACTTCCCCGCCCAACCACCATACCACACTTCTTGCCTTTCGCTTCCACTCCGCGCTCCTCGAAGTCCTCTTCTTCTTCGACGTAGGAGAGCTGGGAAGGGCATTATAATCGACTTTCGATCGTTGACGCTCGGAATAAACCCATGTTGCTAATCGATAGACATTATACAGGATGATGGGGATGAAAATGGAAAGTTGGGCGTAGAGACCATATCGATCGAGGAGAATACGACTTTGTATTCTCTCTTCCGGAGTGGGAAACTTGATGCGGTAAGGCCAGGACATCTTGAAGGTATTCCTATACCTGTATTTGGTTATTGATATCGACAACGAACGACACCTCTTGAGTTTGCAAAAAGGGTTACCCAAAAAATGAAAGAGTATCTAGAAATCTAAATCAAGACGGAACGTTTATATATGTCTATACCCAACTACCCGCCCATTCAAAACATCCGGGCGAATAGAGTTTTATCGAGTATGGCATATTTTGTTACAGTCCCTGTCTATCCGAATCCTTTCGGACTGATATCCAACTCATCAGCACTAAGCAATTAATTGACCAATCACTGAAGATTTATTACACTAATACCGATTCTGACCCGCGCGGAAGCTCGGACCATACAGAGGGATGAAATGTATAAAACTAATCCCTGTTCGACTAAAATACCCCATGAAAGACCTTGGGACGTCAATACATTTTTAATGCGGAAAATTAGAATGCCACTACTTGAGTAATGTGAATTATTTTATTTATTTTTCGCAGAAAGTTTATTTGACAAGGTATCTAACATCAACATTTATCTTCCTATTCAAATTTACAAAATTGAATATCTACGAACCTCACCAATGCGATGAATACAACCACCATGCGCAGTCTGCGCACTTCATCCCTCTTGCACTCGCCCCTCAAACCTCAATATCAACCCCTCATCCGTCTCTGCTCCCTACCATCAACCCAGCGTTTCCAATCCAGCACTCCTCTGTCCCCCTCCCTCCCCTCCAATCTAATCCCCGCCAACACCGTCAACGGACCCCCCTCTACTCTCCCCGCGCCCCTCGATCTCCCCACCCGCGAACCCAACCAACCATTCTTCTTCAAATACGCCTTCACCCTCGGAAAAGCCTATGCCAAATTCTACAAAACCGGCGTCAAAAATATCTACTACAATTTCATCGCCTCCCGCACCATCCAAACCATCATTGACGAAAAACACAAATCCTCTCTCTCTTCCGCCGTAAAGGGCGATGCGCTATCTCGTTCGGATTTCCAACTCTTGATCCGCAATCGCCACGATGTCAAGCGCGTTCCCATCTTCGCTCTGGTATTTTTGATCTGTGGAGAATTTACGCCGCTGGTCGTTATTGCGATTAGTAGTGTCGTGCCGTGGACATGTCGGATTCCCAAACAAATCGATGCGGATCGAAAGAAATTGGAACAGAGGAGGGCGATTAGTTTTAGGAATCTAACTATGAAGACTCCGCCTGCGGGAACGGATGCGCAGGGATTGAGACGCATGCAATTGTTGCATATCTCTTGGAGTTTGGGTCTGAGTAGTAGTGTCTGGGATTATATCGGAGGAAGATTGCCTGGACTGCCGAATGTGATCTTGAGGAGGAAAGTGGAGAAGAGGGTGAAGTATTTGGATATGGATGATAAGCTCATTAAAAATGAGGGGGGTGTGAAAGGGATGTTGGAAGAAGAATTAAGGATGGCGTGTGTGGAAAGAGGAATCGATGTTATGGGACGGGATGTCCACATGTTAAGGATGCACTTGAATGCTTGGTTGAGATCGAGAGAGAAGGCTGGAGTGGAAACCCTGCTTTTGACTAGGTGAGTTGACAAATGATCTTCGAGCCCCTAAATTTACCAGCTGACCATTTTACAAGACCGGCAGCATGGCCCTCGAAGCCTAAGATGCTCTAGATACCTACGAGCACACACGACCACTTTGTACGATAGCACACGAATTTTATGTCCAGATACACGCACTTCGATTCCATTTCTTGTTCATTCACAAAATCATCTCCACATGTACAGCAATTGTAGGATACGGGAAAAAGCAACCACACTTCTCGATAGATAAAAAGACCTCACTCAGTATATAGATAGACATAGAAATAGAAACATCTCTGCATTTGATATTATTTGTTTATTAAGAGCTGTGATGTATATCTACGCACGAGTGATTTCTTCTGTTCTGTTCTATCCCCTAATTTGCTCTCATCGCTAGCTCTCCTTGAAACGGCATGCATCATACACATCATACACAGTAGAAAACAAACTCTTAACATCATGATAACTCCCATACCATGCCATGCCCTTAACTCCCGAAATGCACATTTAACCATAATTCATCGCGCAATATACATAAACGCCACCCCCATATGCAAATTTAACGACGGTCTCCTAGTTGAAAAGGAACAAAGGTCACAGATCCACCGTTTACTGCCTATATCTAGCCAACTGAGCCATAATAGCCTGTACCTGCTGTGCATCTTGTCCATTTTGTTGTGCAGCTGGCTGTCCATATGCAGCGCTATTGTTATAGCTGGCGTAAGGGTCTGTAGCAGCTTGTGGCATTGATTGTTGATAAACCTGCTGAGGAACCTGTTGTTGTTGCGGTGCTAAACCACCCAACAGACTAACAAGGTCTACTGCCGAGTTTGCTGCTACAGCAGGTGCGTTCTGTTGCTGAGGCATGCTGTTCAACGTTCCAAGCAACTTTTGCAAAGTAGGATTGTCCAGTTGTCCCATGATGTTGGCGATATTTGCGTTTGGTTGTGCTGTTGGAGCTTGGTAAATCGGAGCTGGGTTTGGCGCGTACTGAGGTCTTTGAGCCGTGGCTTTCGCGCGCACGACAAGCTCGGCAGCAATCTTAGGTTCCAAATCCTGATACTCATCAAATCGAACAGCAGCATTGATACCTCCTGAACGATCGAATACTTGCAAAGGTATTTTGCTAGCGTTTTGAGACCTCATATCGAGTTGAGAAACTGCAATGACACCTTCGAGAATTTGTCTACGAATGACAGCTTGAAGGGAGAGTCGAGGGCTGAGGAACATTACTTCGGTTTTGACACCTCGTCCACGAAGTTCTCCCTCAACCCAGGAGACAAATCCTCGGTCCAACTCCGCCATAAGAATGATTTGGACATCGGGAACCATTGACGGCTCGCGTCGAGGGATTTGAAGTGTGCCATCTTCATTGGCTTCACGGGTTCTTGGGCTTGGGCTACGATCTCTATAACTGCCGCGCTGTGCACCTGAGAAAGGAGATCGTGAACGACGCCTATCTCTGCTATCGTATGAATCATTGTTACGAGTAGATCTGTATTCGTCTCTGGCTTCTCTACCCCTATAGTTTCGGCTTGGCGATGGCGACCTACCAGATCGATATCCATCATGTGGGCGTTGACTTCCATGCTGTGGTTGCGATCTGTGGCGATCATTCTGATTACGATCGTTGTGATTATAGCCTGAACCACGAGCTTCTAATTGAGGATTACGATTACGAGCTGATGTATTTCCTCTTGTTTGTTCGGGGGATTGGGATCGTCTCCAGGCCTGACCAGCATTCCGAGTGTTCTTCTGTGCCTTGGACACTTCGAGGTCTGTACGAAGGATATTAGCTTGGCTTTAAAAAGCAATATGAAATAACTTACGCATCTTACGACCTCTAACTTCCTTGCCTTGCTCCATTTCTAAAGCTTTATAACAAGAGGCAGCATCATGAAATTGAACAAATCCAAATGCTTGTTTGATCGATATTTGGGCAAGTTCGCCATACTTGTGGAAAACATGGAACAAGTCTCGTTTAGTAAGTTTTTCCGATGGAAGATTACCTGAACAAAAATTAGATATTTGATGATTAGCGGTATTGCATAAGACTTCCTTACCTATAAACAACCGTGAGCCTTTTGGAAATCTTTCCCAAAGCCCTTCAGTGACATATGTGCGTTCTCTATCAAGAAATTCATCATACTTTTTCTGCACTGTTGGTCCCCAAGGTCTGTCATCATTGTCATTTCCATCATGGGATTGGTCAGATGGAAAGCGACGGGTTTGTGTGTAAAGTTTTGGGCTGTTCGCATCTTGATGGGGATGATTGAAAGAAACAGATGGGGGCGGGGGAAGTCCATATCGGGGATCAGTAGCGGTACCAGGGGCACCGACTGCAACTAATGATGATGTTACACCAGAATGGTTATAGGAGTTGGGTTGGTGTGAAAAACCTGAACCTCCAACATTGTACTTATGGGGATCATCGAAAGAAGTATAATTGGAACGTTTAGGAATTTGGGTAATTTGTGGGCGGGGGGGAAGGCTTGCATGGGTAGGTAGACTCGAGCTACCTTTTGGAGGGGCATTGCTAGAAGAGGAAGAATTTGGGCGGGCAGCTTGTGCATTAATCTCGGCATTGGCAGTAATATTGTCCAAAAGCTGCTGAATGTCTATTTCTCCGTTTGGATCCTCAGAGTTTGTGGTTTCCGCTTTGGTAATGGGATTTTGAGAATCATCAGAGCTTTGGGCAGCTGTAGATTGAGGAATCGAGGGGACAGTAAGAGAAGGGATGGTATGGGCGGGCTGGGTTTCTGGGCCATTTTGGGTATCAAATGTGGCAGGTCGGTTGTTGGAAAGAGAATGAGGCAATTCGCTCGTTGGCACTGTGTTAGGAAGACTGTTCGACTCTTGGTCAACTGCCTGTGATTGATCGCGACTATCTGAATGTTCTTCCCCATCAGAGTCAAATGTCATGGCATAATCATCGCCTTCATCTTCTTCCTCAGCCTTTGCTACTGTTGTATCCTCATCCTTCTCATCATATGCATCTGAAAAGCGCGTATCGGAAAGTGGAGAGTCTATATCCTCAGAAACCATCGAGGATTCGATAATTTCAGGAACCACCAAAGGAGCCTTTGATGGCTCGTGGGTCGCCGTCATGTTGAAAGTCGGATCAATCTGATTTCGAAGAACAGGAATTTCAGATGGATTGGGGAAGTGAACCGGAAGTGGAGAGAGCGGTGACTGAATTTTTGTATGGAATTCAGGTGGTTCTGAAGTCATAAATGTCTTTGTTATGAGTGCGGAATGCACACAAACTATCAAGGTTGATTGGATCCGATATTTGACAATGTCGTAGGCTAGGAGAAGATACAAACTGATAGAAAGTAGCAGATATAAAAATTAATGGAGTTTGGAGATAATTTGATAGGCAAAGGCGATGCGATAAGTTTGTCCAGATTTAGGCAAGATTTGATTTGCCTGCTCGATTGAAAACTTTGGGGGAAACTGCAGTCAAAAAATAGTTATCTATTAGATTATCAAAAGTAACGTTGTCACCTTGGTAATGTAAAAGATTTTGATGGTTACTGGCGTCAAGTTGATGATTTTTCTTGGGTGTGGTGGGATCGAAGTTATGAGGTTGTCGCAATGCTTTTGATGATTTCTAGATATGATTTGGGAGAGAATTGAGAATTGGATTAATTTGATCATGCCAAGAAATCCTGAAAGACCTTTTTTCACTAGCCGTACCGGTACTGGTATGAAGTACTAGGTAGCCTGGGAGAGTCTGGCTCGGATAAATCTCGGATCTGTGAATTCGGTGACTTGACTTATTAATAATGCTTATGTAATATCCTCGGACGGTCATTTGTTTTACATTTACATTTGCCCTCATCTCCATTGTCACACTACACTTCAATGCTGGAGCTCAAAAGGGAAAATTTCCATCTGTAGAGTATTTACATACTATCTCAGTCAAGCAACACCTTGCCAACATCATATGAACCTCGAGGCAGGTGAGATAACAAAGAAGTTTGTCGAAGTGATATGCATTATTTTGCCAAGCTCACAGCTAAGCTGCTGCAATTATCTTCTCAAGGTGTCAAGCCAATTTATACATCACCTTTTCAAACACGACCTTCATTTACAGGGTTAAATCTCCAGTGTTGTAGATCATATTCCGTTCAATCTACAGATGACATTGAATTTGAGGTTGCCAGAAAGTGGTATTCTAACTTCAATGAATCAACCATTTCCACAAAGCTAGCCGAGACTACCTACTCAGCTGCCGGGGGTCCCGGTGGACAAAAGACCAACAAGTACGTCGAGCCTCTTGAGATCCAAAGGCAAAGTCTCCCAAGTACTGACCCCCTCCAGAACATCTTCAAAAGCAAATACCATTTGGTCTATGAAAAAGCTCGATGCCATTCTGCCACTGATAATATCGAAGGGATTACGCCGTGGCACTTATTATGTGAAGAATACTGATGCAATTCAGATTCAATGTGATAGTAGTCGCAATCGGACTGATAATAAAGAGGAGACACATCGAAGATTAAATGAAGAAATCAAACGTATATACAGAACAACCGTTCCGGGAAAGGCTTCAATTGAACAACAACAGAGAGTGAAGCACTTGTAAGTCATAAATTTCTTTGCTTTTATGTTCTCTCAATCATTATTCATTCGTGAAGTTTGTGCTTCTTACATAGAACATCATCTCCTTCAAACAATGGCGGAAGAAGCTCTTTTCGAGCAAACCGTGTAAATGAAAGGGATAAGTAAAGATGCCCAGAAGTTTTTCTTCTTCAAAAAATAAGCGGAAGTCAGGGGCTGGCGCCCGTCGTCTAGCTATGAGGATGAGGGCAAGTCAACTTTGTGATTTATATCTGAAAACTTTACAAAAGCGATACAGTTCGATAGATTTGAGATATTGTCACCCTTTTGATCACGAGAATGAAGAACGTGCTAATATTCATGACAGACAAACTTCGGCCAACATAGCAAGGTTGAAAATGAAAAAGCAACATGGGGATAAAAAGAAATCTAGAAGTAGTGGAAAGGGCGGCGGTGACATCTGAAATAGAATTATCACATATTCATTTTGTTGTCTGGAATGTTCTACTGGCTTTCAAAAGTTCACCAAGAGAACACAAATTGGTTCACCGGATGAAGAAGCATATATGTATCATATTTCAATTGCTTCAAAGCAGATTCTGTACATGGGTATTGGAGGTGGCTGTTGTAAAGTTGGAGGATACAGATTATGCAGGAAGCCAGCAGAACGAACACTTCTGCGTGGTTACAATACATACCTACCTAGGTATACGACCCCATGTCTCAGCCACCAACATGAATTGATCGTTGGTGGGGTTGAAGGATAAATAGTCTACCTGACCCCAGGATATCTGAAAAAGCTTCGATGTATCAACTTAATAAACAATATTTCGCCAATTGACACTTTCAATTCGATTAGTCTTGGCGAATGCGTCTTACGTTGGTAAAATTTCTCGAAGGCAATATGCAACAAACTCTGAGGGTGAAAAATTCCTCCTGGACCGGTGTCAAAAACTTCAACCTGATGATCCAAGGAACCGAGCAAAAGTTGATAGGTGATATTCCGTGATCTTGTTTGCACTACATGGCTAAGTATCATGCAGAATCAGATTCAGAGTAATGATTCGATGCATTTTGCCTGAGGCACAGGATATCCGACTATATATATAGCTGCTTAGTTCAAAACGTCGGGCAACTGGAATATCATACAGGTAACAGAAGTTTTCTCCTCATCTGGAGAAGAAGAAGAAGGGATCTGCTGCTCTTCAAAGCACCCTTCATGGGCAAACCACATAAACACCATCTCGCAAGTAGCATTGGGAACTTGGGAATATATTCAGACATATAGCATGCCGCTCCACCTCAAACATTCCCGATTTCAAAGTTTTTATCCCGAAGGATGTGACAATGTTGAAGTTATTCGATCAGCTCCGCGGAGATTGAAGCTCTCGCGAGCATCGACGTGGACTACTTTGTCAGACACAAAGACCCCTTGAAGTCACCCACGAAATCGCATGCAAATCCTCAACTTATCGAATACAAAGAAACCCCGCTTTGGGATTGTCAGCGATTGGACATTCTCTTATTTCTCATTTGTGGAAACCCAGTTTGTGGGAGTTGATGAGAAGCAAGAAGTAGGTAGCTACCTATTTTCCGCAAAACGCTAGAAATAATGTGTTCCACCCAGCAGCCTGCAGAAAGTGCTGAAGTGAGACATCATGAGGGTGTAATACCCATCGAGACAAACATCAAGCTGAAACCCATACGCAAATACGAACTCTTCACGAACATACGAGCACCCGCTCCCGCCTCGTCTATTTCCCTGAATCCACACCCCGTCTCCTCACCACAAGCCTCAAATTAATCTCCCTGGAAATTTCAACGCAGACTTTATCCCGTAACCCCAGGAGCACTGTGCATCTCTCGAAAGAAAGGAGTCCAGCTCGCAGATGAACGAGAAGACTCACCATAAAAAGCCAGGCTTGGCCCACGTACCCGGACCGCAACACATATTCCGACATCGGAGAGATAACTGAGAAAGTTGCGTGACGGGGGCTGTCTGTCGCGGGATCTGGCGGCGAGGAGTCTCGGATAGGGCGTGCGTGAAGGAGTCCCAATGCATCGGGTAAACCACCATAGGTCGCTGATTCCCAGCGACATTGAGAATTCGAGCGATGCTGCAAGCTAATTACCTGGCTCACACCCAAAAGGATGAGTATGGATATGCGCATAATGATTCTGATATGGAATCATACTGGGTTTCTAGACATCACCAGGTGTGTGTATATATATACATATATAAATATCAATATCAATCACATCAAGAAGTATACAGAATCTAGAAGATCATCACACACATTACCCTGGACGATGAACCATGACAAAAAAAAATCAAAGTTCTCTCGATCCAAACTATTTCAAAGCTCGGATTGCAATCCCAAGTTACTTGGAAAATGAGAGAACAAAAGTCCGGTACCATAACCATCTATTTATAGATTCATTCGCGAATCAATCACACATATCAGACCAAGATTCGAGATGATATTAATACAAGCCAAACCCCAAATTTCTCCAACTAGAGACACAACACAGAAGCCACCCCATGCATATATACATACAAACATACAAATACGAAACCAACCAACTCAGAACCAACAACTAACAACACACAATAGCCAACCATAACCCATCTCACCTCATCTCACAGCATCTAATTCAATTTAATCTCCGACTCTCCTCCCACCCAGAAAGAAGCACAGCCCAAACCCCGCACTCCAAATCCAAAATCGCAAGAACCCCCCCCACACTCCGCAACCACAATACAATCACAAGCATCTTTCAAAGAAGTCAATTATAATAAAATCGATTGACTGCTATGCTAACAACTCATTATTCACTGACCGGACCAGGATATCATATGCTGTTTTCCCAAAACGCCAATTCAAATGCCCACTCCCTCCCTTCCTACACTTTCAATTCAATACCATCCAATACTATCCCATCCTATCCAATCGAACATCAACATTACCCTTTTTCACTACCCAATCCAATCCACCACACTGATCCTACAAATGAAATTCATATTCTCATTCTCATTCGACTTTCCCCTCCACTTTGATTCTAACTTCCTCATTCTCATTCTCACAATCTCTGTCCCACACCCAATCTATCCAATTCCGTATCACTAATCACACTAGGTGCAAAACTACTCTGAGTCCTCGTGCTCGAATTCCTATGCATATCATTGCCAAAAGCAGCAGCTAGATGTGGATTGCGTGCGGCGATCCATGCTCCCGATTCCATAGGAGCTGGAGACAGACTTTGGACACCTCCATACATAGGTGGAACTGTATCATTTTCATTTTCGACGTCGTATGGAGTATCATAATTTGATGTCAGAGAATCAAGATGTTGGGGAACGACCCGATTTTGATGGAGATCCTGGTTTCCATTGAGGCCTCGCTCGAGATTCTCATGGGAAATGGTGGGGCGTATGGGGGAGGGAGCTATAATGGTCGGTTCAAGGATTGAGGGCTGTGCATTATTCTAGAGAGGCGGTGTTGTTCACCATCTGGTCCGATGTATGAGGTGTCATCGTCGTCGAGAGGAAACCCCATGGTATCATGTCTGACTAATGGTCCTGGTCTGGGAGGAGACGTGACATTTTGTGACAACTGAGACAGGCGGTTTTGTGTCAGCTGAGATAGGCGGTTTTGATCTGTGAAGGGATCTTGTGTCGGAGAGCCAAGGTGATTAGATGGTGAGTGATATCCATTTCCTCCACCGGCCATTCTCTGTTGGGTTTCCTCGTCATTTGGTAAGAATCTGTCTGTTTCCATATCACTGGAAAGGTCAGGATAGCTTGATTGTCCGCCTCTCATATATGCTCCTTGGTATGAAGTGTCGGCAACCATTGGTGGTCGAGATATTTCACTATCACTCCCTTGACTGTTCCTCTTGATAAAAGGCACGCCAGCAAATGAAGAGTTTAATCCATTGTAAGATACTTGCTGAGTAACTCCTTTGCGACCAGCAGCCTTCTTAGTCTTCCTCCTTTGCAGTAGATAGATAGCAATGAGAGAGATGATCAATAATGCTCCGACACCACCAAGAACACCTGCTATGATTGCTGTTCGTTCCGTTGATGATAGTCCACTTGATGAAGAAGTAGAAGTTGGAAATGCGGAGTTTGTTTGACTTTGACTGTTAGAGGTAGTTGTTGGAGTAGCTGCAGATGTATATGCAGATGTATATGCGGTTGTCTGAGCATTGTATTGACCTTGTGTTGTTTGACTCCCACTTGATCCATAGCTACCGGAACTGTCATAGCTTCCTTGGGCTCCAGCTTGGCTTCCTGGGGTACCACTACTTCCACTAGATCCCACACCATAGTCGTCCATCTCTCTTAACGGTAAATGTACGACTGATTACTACTTTCCACAGTTTCTTTGCGCAGGTCTCTTGCTCAAGAAGATATTCTTGGTGCACGAAAGAAAATTAAACAAAAACAAGTGAGAAATTCAAAGTACAAAACGAGGGTATACTTGAAACAAATAAATAGGAGCTGAAGGAGGAGAAGGAGAAGAAGAAGAAAAAGAAATGGCGCGGCCAGGGCAGGACAACATAATTAAGTGAATTTCAACGCCATACACATTAATGACAACACAAGATGATATCCTAGTCGAGACTTACGATTTTTTGTGGATTTGTACTGTTGACAAGGCGCAGTCCCAGCAACACGATTTAAGTTTTGGAAGATCACATTCGGTAGAATTTTGAGATGATATATCTGTGACGACGCGTCTTTTGCTGTGGAGTAATTAAATGGAGACAATTGTATCACGTGTAGATTAATTATGCTGTTAAATGAAAGAAAATGGATGAATTTGTCTGAAATAGAGTGAAAATGCAATCTTCTGGAACTTGTTTTAGAATTGAGAAGGTTGGTGTTGAGAAAAAAGAAAGAAGCAAGAAGCATGAAATGTTGGATCAAGGATTGGTTGATTGATTGATTGATTGATTGATACATCCATCCATCCATCTATTCTACCATCCACATCCATGAATGAGTAATAAGGACTGGAGGTTCGGATTAAATACCGATAGCAAGGTTCAAGAGCAGAACACATGGGAATGGTCGAAGTTCTACCACAAAATGAGAAGATTTTTGATTGAGATGAGTGAATTGAGTTTGAGAATGCTAGGAGGTGGTAGCAGCTTTGGGGAAATTGAATAGTAACCGCGATAGTACGAGTATTGATCTGTGATGATCTGTGATGATATGTGATGATATATCTATCAATATTGATTGCAAAGTAGTAGGTATATCATCGTGGTCGAGTGTATAGTGGATGTAGACTGTGTACGAGGTAGTAGGTAGTGCAGTGAAGAAAGATACGAGGTCTCTAGTGGATCGTACTCGTATTTGGTGGGAGTGAAGGGTGGGAGTGAAGGGTCAGGTGAAGTGTGAAGTATGAAGTGTGAAGTGTGAAGTGTGAAGTATGAAGGTCTGCCCTGTGTTTTTTTTACCCTTTTTACACTAGGTACTCGAGAAGAAAAATTCAATTGATCTAGCTATTTCCCCAAGTCACAACCAAGCAACTTATGTATTACCATTACCCTCACCAATACCCTCACCAACCTTAAAATAGACTTTTACATCATCATGACCAATAAGATCATCGTTACATCCACTATCAGGGTCCAGGTTTGGTTTACATGTCGAAAAATATCTATGGCTGAGCTTGGGGGTCTTTTATTAGCTCAGTCTATTATATCAGTCTTCACTTCAGTCTGTTATCAGTCTATGATCAGTCTTCACTTCAACCTTTATATTACTCTGTACTCTGTACTCTGTACTTCATACTCCATACTCCATATTCCATACGCCATACGCCATACGCCATAGCAAAGTAAGAAGTAAGCAGCCTTCCTTGACCGCCAGCCAAATCTTCGGAAAGCAAACCCAGTGATCAGCAATGGGAATTTGGTGAGCCACATAATAATGCAGTAATCTTTTCCTGAACTGAGTCTTCACGATTATCACAGAAGATCATTTCAATTAATCTGACCAGAAATCATGTGAATGACCAGCAACCCTGCAATCTCTTATTTTGACTCTTAAACTTTCGCATCAACTTGAAAGGGTTCGTATTCATTTCTAGTCGTATGTGTACATGGTCCCTTGAAGGCTTGAGCTCAGTCGACTTTGTGCAAGTGAAGACTGGACTGACTGCCTGAGTGATTGATTTTCTTTGGCCGTTGGTGAATGCAGGTAATTTCAGCTAACGATGGCTGACCTCGAGCTTACTAAGCCTGATGTAGATACCACCATCCACTGCCCCGCAATCTAACCGCACCTGCAATACCTGAAAGACCATCCTTTTCAATTCTGGAACACCAGAACAACTAACAACAACTTTAACTTCCAGCAACCCTTCAAATTTGCTTATCAAAACTCTCCGAGATTCATCCGTGCAGAGTGGTTCATCATCACATTCTTGATTGTCGTGCGCACTTTTTAATAATATACCTCATCTAATACTCCATCGCTCCGCACAACAAGATGAGCTCCTCGAATCCCCAGGGTTCTCACCCGCAACCCCAAATTCAAGCATGTCGGTATAAGACTGGGAAAACGCTGGGCGCAGGGTCATACTCGGTCGTCAAAGAATGTGTTCACGTTGATACAGGAAGATATTATGCCGCAAAAGTCATTAATAAACGATTGATGGCGGGAAGAGAACATATGGTAAGAACTTTTCATTCCTCTCATATTAATAATGTTTGCTGACACCTCCTGATTGCAGATTCGTAATGAAATCGCTGTACTCAAACGTGTTTCCATGGGACATCAAAACATCCTCACTTTAGTCGATTACTTCGAAACCCTCAATAATTTATATCTGGTTACCGATTTGGCACTTGGTGGAGAATTGTTTGATCGCATTTGTCGAAAAGGTTCTTACTTTGAATCCGATGCTGCAGACCTTATCAGAGCAACACTTTCCGCTGTGGCATACCTACACGATCATGGCATCGTCCATCGAGATCTTAAACCCGAGAATTTATTGTTTCGAACGCCAGAAGATAATGCGGATTTGTTGATTGCCGATTTTGGTTTGAGCAGAATAATGGACGAAGAGCAATTTCACGTTTTAACCACTACTTGCGGCACACCAGGTTACATGGCACCAGAAATCTTCAAGAAGACAGGACACGGAAAACCAGTCGACATTTGGGCAATTGGTGTCATTACATATTTCTTACTGTGTGGATATACGCCTTTCGACAGAGACTCTAATTTGGAGGAAATGCAAGCGATTCTCATCGCAGACTATAGCTTTACACCCATAGAATACTGGCGAGGTGTTAGTCGAGGAGCTCGAGAGTTTATCAAGAAATGCCTTACTATAGACCCTACCCAAAGAATGACGGCCCACGAAGCATTGACACACCCTTTCGTCACCGGCGAATCAGTATCAAAGGATGGTAAAGGTAGCGATTTACTTCCGATTGTTAAGAAGAACTTCAATGCTAGGCGTACTCTTCATGCTGCCATTGATACTGTGCGCGCCATTAACAAACTCCGCGAAGGTCAAGCTGGCATGATGGACGGTTCAAAGTCCATGGAGCCAGATCGTGGAGCCAGGCCTTTGAATCATAACAGTAAAGATTCTGGGTTGGGTGGAATGGGACCTGGAGATGGAGATGGAGATAGTGCTATGGATGTTGATTCAGGATATGGTACAGCAGGTACGAATAATGATGAGCGTGAAAGGTTTATGAGGGCTATAGAAAGAAGCTCTGGTCAAGGTCAAACGGAAGCACAAATCGAGGCGCAGACTAGGAAGATTGCTGAAACGACAAAGGGTTTATGGTCTGCAGGAGCGGCGAAGATCTCGGGAAGATGATGAAAAAGCACTTGATATTCAAAACTTCAATTCTTCTTGTTCTCTTCGGCCCTTTACCATTTTTTATTTTCTCCACACCATGCCACTGGACGATACGAATTCCCTACGACCATGATCTATTTCTTCTGGCGTTTCACGTCGACTTTATATTCAAATGAGGAGTTGAAGTATCTTTTTGAGCAACTTTGGGTTGGGGATTTTTGTTTGCATGATGAAGATGAGATTTGAGACAGTTGAGCTATGATATGAGCTCTTGGAAATCTAGTGGGGTGTATTGGGAAGGAAACCTATAGATTTCATAATAACAGGATACCATTTCACAATGCAATGATAGTCTTGGAACATCACATATTCATGAATAGAACACTTGGGTAGTCTTCTTGTTCTTCCTTTTAAACGTACTAATTGGATACAATGGGGCTATTCGCATCAAGTCTAGCCCTTCATGATACCTTGTTTGTGTCCGAGTTCTTGGAGCATCAAGCACTCTTCCATCTAACCCCGTGATGTTTCTATGATTCTCCATACTCACAATCCACATATTCCCTCAAAACACCCCCACCAAAAGGGATCTCCCCCTCGAATTGATGCAAACGGAAGCAGCCGTGCTGATCTGAAGATGCCAAGCGAGAAATCTATATTTATCCATTTATCCAAACAGATAAGGTATTAGCGTGCGAATGGAACCTTTAACTTTGTCGAGTTTTATCTTGATCGAATCCACTTTGGAAGCCAATTTACATTCTTGACACATGTGATTTGCTGGATGTAGTGTGGGAATCTTAAATGCCCAGAAGCTTGGGCGGGCCAAGATGTTTGGCAGTTTGTATGTACGCATTTCCGAATGGGTGTGTGTGTATGTGTGTGTGCAGCACTGCAGTCTACGGACGGTGTTTCTCTGGGTATTTCTCTATCGAGTCGGCACGTAGGTTATGGTTGTATCGCATGGGTGGAGTATGGTTTCAGCGGGTGGAACTTGGTGGGCGCTTGGCGGGCTGGACGGATGGAAGGTGTAACTTTTGGTGACGGGGACGGGATGGGATAGGATGGAGAAATAGATGAGGTGGGCAGCTGATGGGTTGGAGGATAAATATTAGACGGGTTTTCCGGTTAGGAGCAGGATTCTTATCTATTTATCATACTTTATCGTTGTTTAATTACCTTCGTGTTCCTTCTTCTTGGTTTTGTGCTTCTTGAGATTATATATATCGATAAATAGTCCCAGGAGGATTTTCGATTCATATCGTTGTTTGATAGCTTTTATCGTCGTTTTTTATTGGTGTTCAGTGTTCACGTTACATCAAATCATATCACGTCACATCATCATTATCATCATCATCATCGTCATCATCATCAACGATTAACCTTATTTCCCCCGCAGATATTCCTCACGTGAATATCACTTGATACTCGCATCCAAACCCGCATTTCCTGTTCAGGAACGGAGTCGCTATTTCTACTTTGAGTTCCGGAGTCGAGAATTCTCAAGATCTTGAAGATTTATAGAAGAGAGGTTTCTCTACAGATTATATTGAAAGCAAGCAAGTCGATCAACTAAACCAGCTCATCGTCGAAAGAAGATCTCTTCATTGAGCCCTTCGAATACCGAATATCTACTTCTCGATCAACTCACTTGAAGTACATCACCATCTTCATACTATTCCCTCAAACACAACTCCACTCAACAAACACACAACCCCACCAAAATGTCCGCCCCCGAAACCCTTCCCGTCATCGCCCGTCACCTCCTCCGCTACAACCAATCCATCCTCTCCAAAACGCACTTCCAAAGCACCGCCAAAAACCTCTACCACCAAACCTCCAGCGTCAAAGCCTTTGCGAGCTCCGAGGGCGTGCGCGGAAACGCTCGAAACAGGTATGATGTGCATGGAAATGGGTATTTCACGCATGGAAAACGGGATGGAATCGCAGCAGCTAATATGGAAATGCATGGGGTGAGAGGATTTGGAACGGGAGCCATGGGGGAGCGAGCGCATGTGTCGATTTCGGCAAGAATTGCGGCGAGTAAGGGAGATCGGGAGAGGATTTTGAAGAGTATTGTGAGGGCGAGGGAGAGGAGGGGGGTGGTGGGTGAAGGGAGTGTGGAAGAGGGGAGGATTTGGGAGGAACAGGTTTATCCACCTGTTAATGGGTGGTTGGTTTGAGGAGCGAATGGTTGATGAGGTATATTCATGGGATATGTTGGGGATGGAGAAGGAGGAACGGATGTTAGGTGCTGGACGTTGGGTGCTTACCAGAAGATATGCAGCTACTGGGAAGACTGATGCTTGAAAGATAGATATCAGGCGACAGGTGTGATATGAAGCAGTATCACTTCAACACCCACAGGAAAGACCTCAAGGCGGCAACGAAGAGGTTGGAGGCGGCCATTCATTCATTTACTCACTCATTCACTCATTTATTCGTCACATTTTCTCCCTAGGGGAAGAGGGGGTTTGATCTTGATTGTTTTTGGATCATCTTATTTATCCTCTTCTTCTTCTTCTTCTTCTTCTTTTATGGTATGGATGTATGAGTCATGCGTATACTCTTCCATACTAGATATCTACTATCTACACCTATTCACTCAATCAGATTATTTTCAAGAGTGTTTGGAAGAAAGAAGGAGAGAAGGAAAGAAAGATAGATTGAGAAACAGTTGAGTTGGAGACGAATTTCGAAATTTCGCTTCTTACGCATTATGATGAATGGAGTTTGGGGAAATTTTCTTCTTCTTGGATGGGGATGCAAATAGGGAAATTGAAATGGATACAGATATAGATAGATACAGATACAGATACAAATACAGATACAGATACAGATAACCAGATAAATTAGAATGATATGTCATACTCTCAATCCTACTACTATCCTCAATGCATGTATCCCCTTGTGAAAACTTTCCACAATGAATTCCGCTCTATCACATTCTCGTGTTTCTCGCTTTATTATGCTGAATAAATAGATAGATAGATAGATAGATAGATAGATAGATAATGAACCACCGACTCTGTACCAACAATCCGAATCACCTACTGATGTATTAACTATACATCGTATATCATCACGGCCCCAAAGCCCGGAGTTTCCAGCCACACATGAAGAAATTTGTTGGGTGCGAGTTTGATTCAGAAGGAAGAGATAAGTTCTGTAATTCCACAAATAGATAGATATATATACATACCTAGTACTATTCCCAGCTCAAGATACGATTCCAACTTCCTCCTTCCACTTCAGAATGAAGATTTTAAAGAGGGTTGGGAAGTCGACGGGATGGGTTTCTAGGTAACTGCCTACTTGTAGAGTTTGTTTTATGTATATACTAGATAGGTAGGTAGTTTATTATGGAAAATATGATTGGGATTATAGATTGAAGTTGTAGTTTATAATATGAGATGAGATAAGATGAGATGATTAGATACCTGCCTACCTAGTATCGATATAGAGAGGTGATAAAGAATATAACATACTTGAAGTGATTTATCAATTCGTCTTTCTGAGTAAGTTTGTGGATATAGATAGAGATAAATACGTAGGTAAGATTGTTTATACGGCGAAAGAAAACCTGGAGATGCAGTGGACTACTGGAGAATCTCTGAATTATCCTACTTATTTGATTTATGTATGTATGTGAGAATAGTTTGTAGATGAGTGAGTTACTTTCCTAATCACTGAGAAGGAGACTACCAGAGTAGGTATACTAATAATTCAAAACTTGCCATCTTAACTTTGAGATAGAAAAGGTTGGCTTATGTCCACATACCGTTGAACTATGCGGCGAATAACATAAAAAATTAAGAAATAACCTCTGTTTTAAAAATTCACATTAATCCAGGTTCGAAAAAAATTAAAGTAATTGATAGATTCTTGGTATCGAGTAGTACTTTTTCTTCTCGATATTGAGTATCTCATAGAGACCTTCCTCCTATACTCCCGCCCAAGCCCAACGCCATTTGAAACTTTTCCTCTTTACATTATTATGCACAAGGTCTAGATTGTTGCTTCCGTTGTACCTCTAACCTTCCTTATCTTATGAATGAGTAGTCAAGGATTGTAGAGGCTTATTTAATCCCACCGGTGTGATTTCTCGCTTTCATCATCGAATGAGAATTCAGACATTTCCCACGTCCACGTCTCCAAATTCGCTTAAATGTGTTCGTACTGCGCTCGAATCCTCTGCCCCCTTAATCATGCTGCAATTATTCCAGCTTTCGGAGTGTATGTTGCAAAACCGTTTGAATGCCTGAATCTAATTCCGGTAATGCTATGATGGCCTCAATCCATGCTCTTGTCTTCAGTGACAATTGAGTTTTATCGTTAGTGTTCTCCATGGATTCCTTGAGACGGTTCAGTGCAGATCCAATGGCGACTGCAAATTCGGGAGAGGTGTGATCGATGCCAATTAATGGTTGACGAATATAACAATTGCATGTTGCGGGATCCTTAGGATATGATTCCAACATACTGTCCAAAACGTGCTGAAGGATTTTAGGAAGACATTTTACTTGAGTAAATGCTGCGAACATGTTGAAGAATCCTTCTACTGCGGCTGATGAATAGAATGCTTGCTTTTTAGCGACATCAAAGATAGCGAGTGGAATTGCACCATTGAGAGCTGGTGTAGTCATTGGATCTTTAGCGGCTTCGGAATCTACTCCTACTCTTGCCATCATGCTTGGTTGCATTGTGTTATCCTTGAAATCTGGAATTGCGATCATATCCTGCGAGGTTGTGAACCCAGATTCTTCCGGTGTTTCTTCGATTTCTTTTGGAGCTTCGATAGTCCTATCGATATCCAAACCAAGAATCCTCCTACGTATAGCAATCTTTGCCAAATAGATCATCTCCAATTTCGCATATTCGATCCATAAGTCCTTACTCCTAGTACAGAATCGAGTTCCCCTCTGCATATAACTTCTTGCCTCATTCATATCCGCATCTAATTCCAAGGCCCATTTGGCCGCATACAGCCATAGTTCCGGTTTGGTAGGATGTAATCGAATTGCCGCTGTCAATACCGTCTTGAATTTCTTCGTCGCTTTGGCTTTCCTTGCATATTCCAAATATGACATCCATAATGCGACATCTCCAGCATGTTTCTTTACACCTCGATCAAATATACCGAATACGCGTGCTTGACCGGCATGCGATGAGCTTCCTTTTATGCGCATTCGTTTACATCTTTTTTGACGAAGGTCCTCAAGACTCATTTCCCATGCGGCATATCGAGCAAAATCAACGGCTTTTGAACCTCTCACTAACACCCTATGTTCGAAATCGGATCGCTTTTTAACTAATGTTTTAATTTCATCCTGAATACATTGTTCGGGTTAGTAGTTGATCGCATAAGATGAAAACGACATATAAAATGTAGAGAAACAGTAAAACTAACCTTTGTAAATATTTTCTTTTGCTCCAATTCTTGCAATTGAGGAACACCTTGTTCAAGATAGAATCTTGCTTTATCGTTCGCGCCCGACATTGTTGAAGTATATGAAGATTGATTTTTATGATGATTCTCTGGACTTTTCTTTACCCTGGGGAAATCTTCAGAAATTCTTTGGGCGGTGAATAATTGTGTGCATTATGCCGATCAGTTTGAGCCTAGTGGATAAAGACGGAATATCAAAAGCCCGAGTCCCCGGCCAACAAGGATTATCTTCATCCGTGTCATATTTTACGTGTTTACCCAGGTACACTTTGAACTCTGCGCGCCACGAGTTTTTTGCATTGAACAGCTTTCTGAACCGGTTCCACCTTAACAATTTAAAATCCCACGAGACGTCACGGAGCTTTCGGAGAAGGCTGAGAATTTACCTTGTAAGTGCACCCAGGTCTATTGGAGGGGAAAAGCCATTATCAATCGACTTGCACGAATTGCATGACTTTCACGGCTTTCACGGCTTTCACGGCTATCTCAAGAGGCTTGGTCTCCAACAACTCATCTCATCTCAAATAAACGCGTGCCCACTTGTACCTTACATTGAACCCCATTTGTGATTACCATCCCATCCCATCTCAATTTTTTCTTCCCTCTTTCCTCTTTTATCTCTCCGGATGCTACGGACTACACTCATTTGGATGTGAATATTTCATATACAAAGTGATTAGGATCACAGATGGCACCTAAATTCAAGGACGGCGACACTGTACTCGCTTTCTCAGGTAAATGGGTGTCATGGACTCATACCGCAGTCGCATATGGTAAGAGCAAACGAATCTTTGGTGTTATCCTTGTTTATGTTGAAGTTACTTACAATTTATCAATAGCTGCTTTTCTCAGCGCACTCATTGTTGGGGTTTCACTTCATTATCACAAAATCGTTCAAAATGAATATTATGGTTATCCAGATGAATGGTTCCCTTCAGTTTCCGCGACAATTGGAGATCGATACCCGGAACGTTCGTTTTTCATGGTCTTTATAGCTATTACATCTGGTATGTGGCAGAATTCAAGATATTGGAGCTATATGAATCTTGTCTAACACCTCTTTCAGGCCCTAGATTTGCTCTTGTTGGATTATGGTACCTTCTCACTGCGCGTCCGAATTCAAAGTTACCCAAGTTCGTTGCTTTCGCGGGCGTTTTCCGTACTCTTACATGTGGTGGTTGGACTTATGTTACCTCTACGGACGATCACGATTGGCATGATATTTTCATGATTTCATATTTGGTGGCTACTTTGCCATGGACTTTAGGATGTCTAGCTTTGAGTCCAGATAATGCACGAGCTGTTAAATATCGAAAATATCTCGCGGGATCTTTCTTTGGAACTTTGGTACCTTTGGTATATTTTTTTATACAACACAAAGTTCACAGAGTTGCTGGAGGTAAGATTACTATCAAATCAGGTATCAAATTCCCAACTAATGGAACATTTAGCATACACGGCATACGCTTTCTTCGAATGGGCTTTGATTTTGTTTGATGTGGCTTTCGATGCTGTTACAGCTCTCGATTTTGAAACTTTCGAATTAGTTGTGAAGGATGTTAAGGGTCAGTCTAAGGGGTACGTCCACTGGCTTCCGAAATAGTGTATAACATTTTTGTTGAATGTAACATTATTATGAGCACGTCTAAATCAATATCATTATTTAGAAAAGAAAAGATGATAGTTGATAAAGTCTTTGAAAAAGAGTTTGTGATATCTAATTCCTTTCTAAAAAAAATATCTTTAGCTAATCGGTAAGTAGAAAAGAAAAGGAAGTTGGTCAACTATTCGGCCAATCTTTTTCATGGCCTGAAGCTTTCGATGCGGCAGCTGATGTCTATAATGGCGTAAGTATTGATTTTCATTGTCTGGGAGACTTTTACTGAAATTTATGTAGTTCGTATTCTGGTCAATGTTGACTTCTTTGGGCATAGTCGTCTGGTGTAAGTACCGAAAAGGTGACTGAGATGAAGCTCGCTAATCTTGTTAGATTTTCCTCTTTGGCATATGGGTATCTCAGGCTATGAAGTTATGGTTATGTGTACCATTTCTCCATTGTTCTTAGGAATTAGATCCGTTCGAGCATTAGTTGTGAAAAATCTTCGGACATGCCATCTCATGTCTTTGATTGGCTTATGTGCCTATCAAATCACGAGCCCAGCGCCTAGACTTTTCGTCGTTGGCTTTGGTCTTTGGATGTCATGTTTATCTTGGGCAGCTACTTGGTACGCATCAGCAGGGCAGCCAGGTCGTCTCGAATCGAAAATTTCAGCATGGACCATTGGTCTCATTGCATCAAGTGTTGTCAAATTTGCATTCCACACCAATAATCCTATCTGGCCTATTGCGCATGCTGAAAATGGTGGTTTGAATGGTCATGGTCTCATCATTGCCATTCTATCTGTTTTGCGATCCACACGACCAAGTCAAAGTTTGATCACTGGGGATCAACTTTCAGTCCAAGGTCGTAAGGAAGGACCATCACTTCTTGCTGGTCTTGGTATTGGAGGTCTTTTCTTTGGTTTACATTCCTTGCTATCCGATTCTAGCACAATGATTCTTTGGGTCTGGGAAGGATACCCTGTTCGTGGTCCAATTTCAGCACCTCATGGTGCCTGGACCATTGCTGCGATGGGAGTTGGTCTCATTCTCGGATTATTTAATGAATCTTTGGCTCGTAGCTGGACATTGTATGGTGTTGGTTGTGTAGGTGCTGCCATGCTTACCTTATACAGTCATTGGAAAGGGTATTATGGTGCCTTGGTTTTGACTGTTTACCTCATGGCTGTATCTGTTCCGTTGCTTGGATCAGCTGCCAGAAAAAGTCCAGCTAAAGCGTTTGGAATTGGTTTCCTCGTATACAACTTCATGGTATTATTTCATGTTTGGGTTGTGGCTTATGCCTTTGTTCCAGGTGGCCCTCTTGTTAGAGAACACACAGACTGGGTCATGACTGTTACTATGTTATTGATTGGTTGTGGTGTTTTCGCTACATTTTCATCCACTCCTGCAGCACAACGAAAACGATTCAATGCTTTCTTGAATCAACGAAAGCAACGTTTATACTACCTCTATATAATTGTAGCTCTTCAACTTACTTCTATCTCGACAGCATACATGCGTTTCCCAACGTATGATTATGTCCCTTACCATAAAGAGGAGAAGGTTTTCACGGCAGGCATTTGGACTATTCACTTCAGTCTAGACAATGACATGTGGTCATCCGAATATCGTATGAGAGATGTAATCAAAGAATTGGAAATCGATGTCATTGGCCTTCTCGAATCGGATCTTCAACGTATTATCATGGGCAACCGTGATACAACTCAATTTCTCGCAGAAGATCTTGGCATGTATGTTGATTACGGACCAGGCCCTAACAAACACACTTGGGGTTGTGCACTACTCTCCAAATTTCCAATTCTCAATTCTACCCACCACTTACTCCCATCACCTGTAGGAGAATTAGCTCCCGCGATCGCTGCTACCCTAGACGTATACGGAAGTCCAGTGGACGTCTTCGTCTTCCATTCAGGTCAAGAAGAAGATCCCGAAGATCGAAGACTTCAGTCTGAATACTTGGCTGACTTAATGGGTGCTTCTACAAACCCATCTATCCTCCTCTCTTACCTTGTCACTAAACCTCTAGAAGGAAATTACAATACTTATGTATCTGAAAGATCGGGTATGCATGATATTGATCCAAGTGATTGGGATAGATGGTGCGAATACATTCTTTACAAGGGGCTCAGAAGATCGGCATATGCAAGAGTTTCCAGAAGTACGATTACGGATACGGAGATTCAAGTGGGGAAATTTTTGGTCGGAGAACCAGAGGGAGAGAGTGACGAGGTGAGGAATAGAAGAGTGGATGAAGGGGATGTGAGTGAAGGAAAGAGATTCCCACAATTATTCAGAGGTGAGGGGGTGAGGGGACACAGGTATCACGTTTTTGATGAGCCGAGATATTATGGTTAGGTTAGGATTTGGAACGAATTTGGGAATGATTGAATGAATGAATGAATGGACGGAGGTGCATTTGTGCACATTTAATATATCTTCTATCTTCTACCTTTTAATTTCCCATCTTTTTTCGTGGGGTGTCATTTCATGTCATGGACGGAAAAGGGAAAATAAATACCTAAATGTGCTATTCTATGCGTTACAAAACGATATTCAATGAATTAGGAGTGGGGCGGAGCGGGAAAAGTTGAATGTAATTGGGAGGGAGGAAGCGGGGAAAAGATTTTAATGTAGATGAGATGGGATGAGATGATGTATATATTTATCTTTTTGAATTTAGTTGAGTCGAGTTGTTGAAGTAAGATTTCCGAATGAATGAATAAAGAGCTTCTATAGGAATGAATGGATTTCTTGCTGTCTAGCTGTCTAGCTGTCTAGCTGTCTAATTATCTAGCTACTATACTATATCATTACTTACTCACGAGTCGCTAACCTGACTAGACATTTCGCTTATTTCGGGGATTCTACTGAGTCTCGAATGCACCTATGTTGATATCCTAGATATTGACAGGATCATTCGTATGAAGTACTTCTCCCGCCTCGACCGATTCAAGATCTAAATGAATGAATGAATGAATGAAGACCTAAGTAATCAATCAAGAAATATCTCAAAGCCTACGAAATCTTTTAAGTTCTCGTCTAACTCATTTATCTGCTCATACTATGAGGTGTTGAAATATCTGAAGCTGAGAACGATCGATAGATAATGAGTGTTGGTTTTTATTGAGTTGGTGTATGTGTGTATGTGTGTATGTGTGTATGTGTGTATGTGTGTATGTGTGTATGTGTGTATGTGTGTATGTGTGTATGTGTGTAGATATGTAGATATGTAGATATGTAGATATGTAGATATGTAGATATGTAGATATGTAGATATGTAGATAGATAGCTATATTAGTGAGTATTTATATATATAATGAAAAATGATAAATCGTAAGTTAATATCTTGATAGACTTGAGTCGAGTGATAGATAGATAGATAGTAAGTGAGTAAAACATCTATATACATATAGTAATACTCGTGCTTA